TCTCTGTGTATCTTTGGCTATCCTGGAACTCATTCTGTAGATCAGGCTGGCCTTGAACTCACAGAGATCCGCCTGCCTCTGTCTTCCTAGTGCTGGGATTAAAGGCATGGGACACCACACCTGGCCGCTGGTTGACCTCTTGGACATACGTACCTTTCGCTTAAAACTGTTCTTACGAGCTGCATGCCTGTCTCACTGATGTAGTCAGGGGACCTCCTATGGTGCCCCAGATTTCTGCAGCTGAAAGTTACTTCTCCCTTCCCATGTCCCTCTGTTAAGATGGTATTTATCATTTTTGTCGTCAATAGTATTACGTTTAGTATGACCTGTCTGCATTGTAAGGCTTCTTGAAGAGCTGGGAACAGTGCTTATCAGTGAGTAGCAAAACAACACACTTTTAGTAGCACTTTTAGGTGAACAAATAATTATATCTAAGAAGACATGTTCTAAAAAGACAAAAACAAAATGATCAAATTAAAAACTGGCTATTTTGTATAATCAGGTTGGGTCACAGCTCCATTAAGAATGGAGTGGGCTGTGGAATTCACCTAGTAACAAATCTTCACTAGCTAGATTAGCAAGGGGGGCATTAAATCAATTAAGGTCTTCTAAGCTCTTACTTAGTGGCTTCCTGTTGCTACTTTTGTTTCGAAAATGGTTAAAACTAAGCCCTCTATTACAGGCTTCATTTGCCATGGCTGCAGAAATCAAAGTGTGTTGACTTTGCCAGGGCAGTGAAAGTATCCCGGGAATTGGTTGCCCATTCCAATTCTCAATTTCCACCCTTTACGACTGCCAAAGAGCGAGGGTTTTAGAGGATTTTTGTTGTTGTCGTCTGTAGTAGCTGAAGGCACCGCAGTGTCAAAGGCTGCCTGGCAGCACCGTAGATCAGCCCACACAGCGAAGGCCAAGTGCACGGCCACCGCCTCTAGGTGCTGACTTCTTGATTCAAACCCCTTGTCTTTCAGCTTCAGTAACTGTGCAGCCTTGGGTAAATTACCGATTCCTCCGCCTCTGTTTCCTCGCTTATAAATTGAATTTGGGTGATAGCAGCTATTTTATGCAATTGTTAAGAAAACAGCATCAGGGCAGGCCGTGGTGGCACATGCCTTTACTCCCAGGACTCGCGAGACAGAGGCGAGTTCTAGGTCAGCCTGGTCTATAGAGCAAGTTCCAGGACAGCCAGGGCAACACAGAGAAACCCTGTCTCAACAAAGGAGAGAGAGAGAAAGAGAGAGAGAGAGAGAGAGAGAGAGAGAGAGAGAGAACGGCATCAGTTTGTCTCTGTTTAGAGTACTTCTGGAACATTAGCCACTGTGTTATGTTAGTTAGTATAATGGCCATAGAATATCAGAAGTTTCTTCTTATTGGAAATGGCAATGTTTACTCAAAATGTTCCCGAAGATTTCCTAATAAAGGTAAATTTGGCAGTAACATTTCAGTGGAGCCTGTAAGGTATGGCCATGCCAGTGTCAGTATTAGAGCTATGGGGCCCTTAAGGTCAGAGGAAACGGGAATCACTATTCTCTAGTGGGAAGGGACCTGGGTTTGTTCCAGGCTCAGAAAGTGACTCATCAAGGTGTCGGGTGCTTCCTGGTGAGGTGTAGGAGATCAAGGAAGAAGGGAGACCTGCCTTGAGATGACAGGGCGTTTAGAGGGAACCTGGGGGTACTGAGACCCCTTTGGCATTAAGGTAGAAAGAGAGGGTTAGAGAAGGATAGAATCAAGGCACAGAAGCCAGGGGAGGCTATGAGAGAGGAAGTGAGTATCTCTGGTGAGACTTGAGAATTGAGGAGTTCGAGGTCTCAGTGGCGGGTGTTTGATTGAAAATGAGACCCCCAGCCCGCTGACTCCCCTATATCCAAGAAGTCTGGGATGATTGGAAGAGTCACCCCAGCCCTTGGCCTGGGAATTGCCTTGGTCTGGACTCCAACTCCCAGCCTGCCAAGCGCTGACCCCTTTCCGGGGAGGGTCAGGACCACTCGCACAGGCTATTTAGGCTCGAAGAAGGAGCATGGTCACCGAGGTTTGCGTGGACTCCTCTCCCTGCCATGCTGTCCTGGTCCACCCTGGGCATTTTTGATTTGGTCTAATCTGGCCTGATTGGAGTTATTTTGTGTCAGTGGAGAGGCCCATCTTAAAATTTTTCTTAACAGCGGGTAATGCCCTGAGAGAAACAGGGAACTCTGGGGAAGGGCGAGTTAAGGATGGGAGGGATAGGCTTGCAGCGTTACATCAGTTTACAGTACGGATAGGAAAACCCAAGAGAGCTACCTCCTGCCCCGCATCCCAGTTCAGAACCATAAGTCAGGCCAACAGTGGGATTGTGTGGATGAAATTCGGGAGTTATTTCCAGATGTGTGATACTGTTGGTCTGTGGGAGTATATTTCTTAGGTGGGTATCCTGAAAGGCCGGGAGTGGAGCTTCCTTTTAGTTGTCTGAGTCACCAGGTGAGTTTCTCAGCTGGCCCTTTAGTCACTCTGGTGTCCCCGTTGGGGAGCTAGGTGAAGAACTTCCGGTTTCCTTTTTGCTCACCGTGCACTGATGGGCAGCAGCTCTTCTTTAACGCTGGGAAGAATTTGGTTTGAATTATAAAATTTAAAGGTACATTTAAAATCTTAAATATCTCACAAGACACACTAAGGACAAAGGGCATGCTTTAAATTTCAAAGCTTTCAAGACCAGAATGTTTTATGACCCTGCAACTCGTGTGTGGTTTTCAATGGGGATAAAAATACTCGGTGGGTATGTGGGTGGTTTCTCGTGTTTTGGGTAACGGTGAGAATATGAGATGCCAAGCTCTGGGCTCTGGGATGAGAGATATAATTACCAACCGATGCCTTCCTGGGATTGGTTTACGGGTGGATATTGGGTATCTAGAAATCCAGCAAGCCTGAATCCATAACATCAAGCCCGGCTTTTCCCCTGGAAGTTAAAATTGTGATTGGCAATAGAGGGAGCATAGACCCGCGTGTTTGCTTGCCTTTTTCCGTCTCTGTGACCATTCACGTGTGCGATTGGGCAGGATTGAAAGCTGGTATGGTGGCTTCTCCAAGCCTAGTGCCCGGCAGCCACCACACAGCTGCTATGGAAACATTTCTAAATATAATCTAGGGCTGACTTTACACGCTCCTCCCCCACGACTCGGCGGATGTGGTAAACACCCTAAAAATACCTATGTTCTGAACTTTTGAGGTATCTGAAAGGAAGGGGCAGGCAGAAGGACTGGGGCTAGAAGTCCGGCACTGTTGGACGCTCCATTGCCCCCCTGGGCCTGTCTGTGAAGCTGTTTGCTGTGCTGTGGTCCACATTGCTCCACTCGAGGCTAAGAGCTTGCTCTCTGGTCTTGTGTTTACTGTTGGCAGGTTTCAAGGAAACTATTCATAGAATGACATCTGTTCTCCGTCCCATTGACTTCAAACCTGCAGCTGCTACCATAAAAAATCAGAATTTTAGAGCTGTATGTACCCAGTCTCGTGTTCACAAAACCACTACAGTTTGTCAGTCCTGGCCTTAAGGAGTCATAGTTCTATGCCCATGGAGTAGCCGTAGAAATTTGAGAATGGAGCCTGCTTGGGTTACTAGTAATAATAACCAATTGCCTTATTGGTTATTATTGTCACACTTATAATTCCGCAATATAAATGTAGAATAAAAAAAATCTTTAAAAATCATCGACTAAGTGATTGTGCAAAGCCTTTTCTTTTTTACTTAAAAAAAGAAACTACGAGGCTGGAGAAATAGCTTATTTGGTAAAGTGCTGTCAAATAAAAACGAAGACCTGAGTTCAGAACCCCAGCACCCACGTAAAAATCCAGGTGTGATGTTGTGTGCGGGTAACTACAGTGCCGGGGTTCGGGTTCAGCTGGGTCCCTGAAGTTCACTGGCCAGATGGCCCAACCTATTTGATGCGCACAAGACTCAGTGAGAAACCCTGTCTCAAAAATTCATGTGGAGAGTGATCGAGGAAGCCGGTCAAGACAGACCTCAGACCACAGTTGGTGGGGGCGGGGAGCACATGAATACATCAGCAAGTCAAACAGTGAAGCTTGTTTCTTCACCCACTTTCAGTGTTGTGCACACAGAGCCCGTTGGTGACATGGCTGGAACACCGGCAGTCTTGTCTCCCAGAAGGCTTTTCATGTTCAGCTTCCGGACATGAAGAACCTAAGGTCCTGTAATTGATTGATCACTGGAAAGTTCTGATTCTGCTGAAAGAAAACCTTTGCCGGGTGGTGGTGGTGCACGCCTTTAATCCCAGCACTCGGGAGGCAGAGGCAGGAGGATCTCTGTGAGTTCGAGGCCAGCCTGGTCTCCAGGACAGGCACCAAAGCTACAGAGAAACCCTGTCTCCAAAAACAAAAACAAAAAAAGAGAAAACCTTCATAGTTGGTCTCTAATGCCCATAAGACATGTGCAAGGTTGTGGAAATGGTCAACACTGTCATCCAGGACAGATGAGTCTCTAACTCTTATGCCTCCCCCCAGTCCCCGCCAGTCCACTCTGAGGAGGTTCAGTGTGTGCAGAGCCTGTGTGAAGAAGTGTCACTACGTCTGGGCAGTACATGGAGATGGAACAGTTCTTTGTGTTGAGAGTTAAAGTGCTTTGTGTTATGGTGGTTACAGCAGCGTCCTTTGATTGTAGCCCTCCATCTGTATCTTCCGCTGTGAGCATCACGGAGCCCCCTTGTGCGTCTGGAAGAATGTTTGCACGTGTGGAAGATAAACGGGACGTTTCTCTTGAATGATGGAGCTATTAAATGTTTGTGTTGTCACTCATTGCATATATGAACTAGCCACTTGTAGGAACTCCTGTTTCCTGGACTTAATGCAAGGAACGCAGCCCCTGGGGAGGCTGCAGGAGGGGGGGTTCTGGAGTTGGTAGTGAAGAAGCCAGGGAAGACATGGACACCAGGACATCTCTGTGTCACGAGGATCATGGCAGTAATGGCTGGTGATGTAGTTCAGGTCTCTCAAACGTGTCTCCTCTTCACTTCCAGAATGAAGAGCTTCGTAACTTATCGCTTTCGGGCCACGTCGGATTCGACAGTCTTCCTGACCAGCTGGTCAACAAATCCACCTCTCAAGGATTCTGTTTCAACATCCTGTGTGTGGGTAAGTGAAGGTGCCCCCTCTTGCACAGAAGGGGAGGCATGTTTCTGGGACAGGAGGATGATAGTTTATCCCCCATCCCCGTTTCCTCCAGCTTAGCAGGGTAATAGTTGTGAAGATTCAGAGCTATATTTGGTAAGTGTTTTGCAGTTTTGTGGTGGTACTCAAATTGTCTTTATTTCTGTCATGTGGTCATGCAGCTGGTCAGTCTTATTTTGTTATAAAAAGCATTGTAATTTTTTTTTGTGGAGAGCAGGCACTGGACCCTTACTAGACTATAGGAAGTTGAGGGAGCTCTGGTATGTACTGGAAAAACATTCAAAAGCCTCTAACCCAGTGATTCTCAATCTGTGGGTCGCGACCCCTTTGAGGAGTCACACATCAGATAGTTACATTACAATTCATAACAGCAAAATTATAGTTATGAAGTAGCAACAAAAATAATTTTATGGTTGGGGGTCAGCACAACATGAGGAACTGTGTTAAAGGGTCGCAGCCTTAGGAAGGTTGAGAACCACTGCTCTAAGCAGTGGGCTCCTGAGGTCCCTGACTACGGTGAGCAGTACCCTTGAAGTAACCTTCCAGAAGCTTTCTAAAGACACATTGAGTTGGGGAGAGCGAAGATGACTCTGATACTTCAGCAAGCTTTTGCTCTCAGGGCAAAAACAAACAACAAAATAATCTAGAATTCTACAGCTGCCCTTAAATTGGGATCTAGATTTGACCTCTGTTTTATTCCTTGTAGACAAATGGAATAATCCAAAGAGGTCTGACTCTCGCATCCTCAGTGTGTCTTATTCAGCCCCACCCCCAATCCTACCCCGGTGTTTTGCCTTAGCCCAGGTCACCTCTGGTGTGGAGGGTGTGGTGGAGGGTGGCATCTTTTCTCTCTCTAGCTCCATCCTTTTTAAACTAAGCTGAGAAAGGTAGGAAAGGGTGGCAAACAAGAAAATCAAGATATAAATCTGTAATCTTGATTAAAAACTGTTCCTGAAATGCTCTGACTGAAGAGCCCTGAGCCTGTTTGCCGCAGAGTTTTGTTGCTATGGTCTCCTTTGCATATTCTTCAAGACATCACTCTGAGACAGGAGCATTTCTCTGTGTGGCCGTGTGAACCATCCTCCTCTAAACCTAACAGAATGGGCTAGACTGATTTCCTGGCTAAGTGAGGTGAAATCAGAAAGGTTTGCCTTCGGTGTGAGACGCACACTGGCTCACCCAGAGGAAGGACACCAGGGGAGTGGATGCTTTTCTTTGGGAGCCTGTTGCTTGTAGCCAGTGGGCAGGGGCTGTGAAAGTCAGAAATGCAGAATGTGACACCTGGCCGGCACTCTGGGCCAGCTTGTTCTCTGGCACTGTGTTTTAAACCGCGGATAAGAGAATGGCAGGAAAGATGTGGTCAAAGCAGCCACCTCATGTGTCTCTTTTTCTCCCTACGTGGAATGATACAGGAGAATTGTCTGTATTCTGTCAATCATATTTTAATAAAACGCTGATTGGCCAGGCAGGCAATATAGGTGGAAAAACCAGACAGGAAGTAGAGGTGATGCAATGAGAACAGGAGAATTCTGGAAAGCAGAAAGCCATTCCTTCATTCCTGTGCAGATCACTGAAGAGGCAGTATGTAACTTGCCCCGCTGAGAAAGGTACGGAGCCATGTGCTAAAGTAGATAAGGATAATGGGGTAACATAAGTTATAAAAACTAATAAGTAGCCAGAGCTAATGGCCAATCAGTTTATAATCTTATGGAGTCCTGTGTATGATTTCTCTTTGGGGCATGCCGGCTGAGGGGTACCGGGTGGGACAGATACCCCAACAAGCCGGCCCTCATGTTACAGTGGAAGCATTTGGTGTTGAATGAGGCCCTCGTGAACTATAGTTACTGCTGCAGAATGGCATAAGTGAGTTGTCTTTTGGTATGTGCTCTTTGCAGAGGAGAGCAGTTCTTCGTTGGTGTAGCAATTTGCTGGTTTTGTATTGAAAAAGTGTGCTAGATTATAATTCTGAGCCAATTGCTATTCTGACTTCCCGAACAAACCTTCCCAAAGCCCTTTCCAAAATGGTTCCATGAATTGATCTGAGAGTGGCGCCATGCCTCCTGCACTGGAATGGGAGCTGTCTTGTGGGATCTGACTTGCTATAGGGCAGGATCTGATGGGGCACGCACACAGTGGCTTAGCAACCGACCTCTCCCGGTAGAGCACAGTTTTGATGCAGATTGGATTTCCTTATGTTAATGCTGTCCTGTGAGGTTGGAAAGCACTTGCCATGTCACCTGTCCTGAGGACATAGTAATGCCCTGTTTCATACATGGGCAGTTTGCTTCAGTTCAGAGCCCCTGGATGAGCTTGGTGCATAATGTGGGCTTTCGTGATTCCAATGTGTCTCTGAGATGGAGATGGAGGCAAGGAGCTCATGGGCCAGCTAGTCTGGCATGCACAGCTGGAAAACAGCAGAGACCCTGGTCCACACAAAGTGGAAAGACCAAGGCTTTCACACATGGGTGTGTGTACACACACACACACACACAGAGAGAGAGAGAGAGAGAGAGAGAGAGAGAGAGAGAGAGAGAACACAGCTGCCTCCTGGGATGAGACTATGTGGTCAGAACATACATACTGTCTACTTCTTGATCTTGCTTGTTTCTGGGAGCCTTTTTGTTTTTGCTTGCTTTTCCTCCCAGCAGTCTGGCTTCCAGCAGTTACCAGCTTAACAACGGCAGGAAGGAACAAACCATCCCCTGACACAGATCACTGGACATCACAGATTTTTCTGAGTGTGGTGTCACATGCCCAGCCTGGCTGGGAGTGGAGGTCCATCTACTCCAAACCACAAGTGGTTCCCTAAGGAAAGCAAGGCTTTACCAGAAGGGAGAGGGGTGTGGGGCCCCACACCCTGGACAGATAAGGACCGCTCACAGGTGACAGGTGTTTTGATTTACACAAAGGATCATGCTGTTTACATGCTTTAATTTTTTTTCACACCATAGTAAATCTGGATATGCTTCCAAGATGGAGTGTGATCCTTCAGGTTTGGCTGTGGTTTGAGTCTGTCCTCCAAGAGTTCATATGCTGGGGACCTAGGCTGGGTATCAGTACTGAGACATTGCAGGACCTTTAGGAATGGATCATCTGTGACAGGCACTTAGGTTTTGCCTTCAGAAGGGAGGAGAGTGGTTCTCCTGGGTCTCTGTGCCTGACCTTCTGAGAGTCTGAGAGGGCATAATAGGTTTTTTTTTTTTTTTTTCCTGGCCATTCCTCAGCCTCTGGCTTTCTGTCTGGCCATGAGCTCTCTAATATGTATTCCATATTGTATGTGTGTCCATGTTGTCATGCCATTTGCCATTATTTAGATCCTCATTAGCACCAAATTGAAGCTGGCACCATGCCTTCAGACCTCCACAAATGTGAGCTAAACAGACGTTCTATAAAATTGTTCTGTCTCAGGCCTTTTATTATAGTAATAGAAACCGACTGATGCCGGAACAGACACCGGATGCCACCTATACACAACCACGTTGCATTACACAGATTAACAGAAATGGGTTAATTTAAGATATAAGAGCTAGCCAACAACAAGCATGAGCTAATAGGTCAAGCAGTGTTACAATACAGTTTCTGTGTGATTATTTTGGGTCTGGGTGGCTGGGAAGTGAACAAGAGGCCCGCAATTACAGGGTCCTGTCCCTAGTAGATTATCTGTTAATCAATCAGGTAGCACTTTGAATGTAATGGCCCCCCATAGCCTCATAGGGAATGGCACTATTAGAAGGTGGGGCCTTGTTGGAGAAAGTGTGTCACTGTGGGGGTGGGTTTTGAGGTCTTCTATGCTCAAGCTATGCCTAGTTCAGTTCACTTCCTGTTGCCTATGGATCAGCTCTCAACTCCTTCTCCAGCACCAGGCCTACTTGTGTGACACCATGTCCCACCATGATAATGGACTGAACCTTTAAACTATAAACCAGCCCCACTTAAATGTTTTCCTTTATAAGAGTTGCTGTGGTCAGGGTGTCTCTTCACAGCAATTAAAAACCCTAACTAAGACAATGAGCATAAAAGCAAAACACTGACACATCAAATAAAAATAAATCTTTTTTTATAAAGGAGGGAAAAAAAGACATGGTTTTGCTTCAAGGTACAGACAGGGCTTTGCATTTAGAATTTAGACTGAAGGTTCAAAAGCCAGTGCATTGAAAATCTCCCCTGTGTCAGGCATGGTGGTGTGGGCCTCTAAGCCTTATGCTTGGGAGGCAGAGGCATGAGATTGCAAGTCTGAGGCTTACCTGTGCTATATAGTGAGTTCAAAACCAGCCTAGGCTACAAAGCAAGACCTTGTCAAAACAAGAGATAATACATGCCTTGGGTCCCAGCTCTCTGGGAGGCAAAGGTCTGCGGATCTACGGATCTACGGATCTACCAAGGCCAGCCAGGGCTACCCCGTGAAACCCTGTCTCAAAAACATGAGACAACAAAAGACATCTGACAGTTAGCTAAGAGATGGTGCACTTGTGGAGCCTGAACAAGACCCCAGGACAACAAAAGACAAACTCCTCTTGGTTCTGTGACTCTTGCTGCTGCCGCTTTCCACTGACTGCTCTTGGTGAACCAACCTTGGTTAGTGTTGCTGCGTCTAATTACAGCCCTAAAAGTGCAGAGAGATCACAGACCTAGGAAGCCAAACACTTGGAAATTTAGAGGAAAGTGGTTTTTGCAACCAGCTGATTAACTCTGTGCTATAAGTAGGGTCCAGAAAGCTAATTGTTCACAATTTCCACCTTAATGTAGACAATCACTCAATAGCCATATCTTTTTAAAAAGATGATGGCAGGCATCCTCAAGTCGCACGAGCGGAAGTCATCCTCAGCTAGTAAAAGGAGAGAGTAATTGCAGTCTCAGGTAGAATCCTTGCCTTGTAAGTGGAAGTTTTATTGCTGCCCTCAGGGAAATGTGAGAGAAAAGTAGGTCTCTCTATGACAACCTTTGACATGGTGGAAACTTCTGGGTTGGGGGCCCTGCTTGCCTCTTTGCTGGTGTCCTGCAGGGACAGTTTTCAGGGACCCAAACAGTCCCTGCGCGACTCGTGCATGGTGGCGTGGGCACTGCCACCAACAGGCTGCTGGCACAATCTGAGTCTCTTAAGGGGAGAATGCTCCTCCTTATCTGTGTCTATCACACAATTTTGTTTTGCTCACAGCTAATTTGTGAGGATGGGAATTATGGCCATGCGCTTGAGAAGGGCCACTCATGAAGAAGCAGACTGGCTTATGTTTTTTTATACTGGTGTGTGTGTGTGTGTGTGTGTGTGTGTGTGTTGCTATGCACGAGAAAATGCATTTTCAGCAAAGTAAAAAAGACCCAACTTAGTCTCAAATACTATCCGGCCAGACGCAGAGCCATCTGGAGCGACATCCAGGCAATAACCGAGGTGCTAGCTGTCAACAGTTTGTTGTTGCTCACCCTGCCATCCCCACCCCTATACTCATTAGGATGCTGAGTACTCAAACACCAGCTTTATAACTCAGTGTCTGGTATTTGCCCGTCTGTATCAACCAGTTCTCGTCTCCGTGAGTTCGTAGCCTTCCCTCCCTTGTCATCTCGGCCTGTTTACTTCCCTTGCTGTGACAGTGTGCTGACTGTCTCCAGTGTGCTGACTGTCTCTTCTTGAGAAGCGCTCTACTTGGATGACTCTCCTGTGCAGCACTGTAGCCGCCAGGCTTCTGCGGTTGCCTTTGGGTCAGAGGCCAAGACGTCGTCCTGTTTTCTGTAGCAACTCACGAGGTCACAGGGGAGAAGGTGTGGTCTTGCTCAGGAGAGCAGTGTGACTGTGGCAGGGACTTCGAAATATAGTCCCCTAGCACACCCTTAGCAATGTCCGGTTGGTATTTGGTTACGTTCTAGACCAGATTCTAAGATATGAGAGAACACGGTATCAGCCTAGTTCATTGTTATATTCCTGGAGCTTGGCACAGAGCTGAGTACATAGTAGGCACTGGAAAAGTACTGGCTGGCTGAGGGCTGATGAGGGAGGAAATTCTATCCGTCAGGGACGCACTGGGGAAGGTTACAGGGTAAGGAAAATGCACTCGAGCAACTTTTTATTGAAGAAAGGAATCAATGCTAAGTGGCAAGCCACATCAGGCTGTGCCCGTCAGAAAAGGCCCAAACCAGAAAGCTCCATCCCGCTTTATTTTACATTGTGTGGAGAAGCAAAGATTGCAACAATGTAAAAACTCTCATTGCTCAGTTTTGTCCATATTGTGAAAGAGTTGCCTTAAGGCTATGGATTCTAGAATTTCTCCTTTCCCCGTGGGCTTTCACCATCTGAAAAACGACTCTGGCTTTCCTTCAGGAGAGGGACTGCAGGAAGGGTTGCCAGGTCAGGGTTAGGGATTGCTGGGGGGCTGATAGATGCTGTCTAAGAGGACATTCTGATGACTGCATTGAAAAGGTGTATTTTATGACTAGTGCTTCTTGATTGCTCCCTCCTCCTTGTGCTAATCATGTCAGTATCCACCCTGCCTGCAGCGCTCAGTTCCTTGTCCCATAGCTCCGAGACTGAATAGATGAACTGAAGTTGAGAGATTTTGCATGGTCCTAAGCTGGAAGTTTAGAATCCTCAGTTCATCCTGGCTTCACATTTGGCTCTTGCTGCCTGGTGCAGTTTTGGTACCCTTCCCTCTGCTTTGTGCCTATGAGGAGCCCGGCACACAGCCTTGACTTGAAATAGCATTGTAAATCAATAAAGCGGTTGCTTTAAGTCATGCTTAAAATATCATCACAACTGTGGCCATGAAATCTGTAAACTAAGTATTTGTTATCTTGATTTCAGCTCAGTAGAGGGGAGGGGAGTGGGTGGGGAGAGCAGAGAAATTGACAAACATGCCGAGCCATAGCTAGAACAGATAATCAGAATAACTATAAATACTAGGACCATAGACACTAGGTTCAAACTCTGGCTCAGCCACTTTACGCTGTGACTTTAAGCAAGATATTCGGAGCCTTAGTGCTTTGTCTGCCAATGCAGGAAACTTCAGTGCCTAGATGGTGGGGGAACAGGGTCTATAAATGAGGGACTGTGTGGGACCTCCTGTCTTGGGCCTGGCACAAAGCAACAACTTAGCAACTTTGGTGATTATTGTTATCAAAGAGTTGTTTTGAAGCATATACATTTTTTAAACATTAAATCCACTAATGTATCTTCCCTTGATATAATCTTTTCAGGTTGATTCAGGAGAAAAAGAGAAAGTTTTTATCCTTGTGGTATACAAAGTGGCCATAGGCAGACTTACAGGTATTGGGCGCCATATGTAGTATGTGGGGCTGGCTTGTTGGGGTATCTGTCCTGCCCAGTACCCCACAGCAGGCAGGCCCCAAAGAAAATCACGCACAAGACTCCATAAGGTTATAAACTGATTGGCCCATTAGGTCAGGCTTCTTGTTAACTCTTATAACTTATATTAACCCATTATTCTCATCTATGTTAGCCATAATGGCTCCGTACCTTTCTCAGCTGGGCAAGTTACATGCTGCCTCTTTGGTGGTCTGCGCAGGAATGGCTGAGGAACTTCTCTGCTTCCCAGAATTCTCCTGTTCTCATTGCATCACTTCTACTTCCTGTCTGGTTTTCCCGCCTATACTGCCTGCCTGGCCAATCAGCGTTTATTAAAATATGATTGACAGAATACAGACAATTCTCCCACATCACTATCTAGTGTTAAAAATATCCTTTTTTCCAACCCAGGGCCTCATGTGTGCCAGGCAGGTCTGCCACTAAGCTGTATCCCTAGCCATTTCTTTTTACTTTTTATTCTGAGGCAGTCTCGCGAAGTTGTTCACCGTGTAACCCTCCTATCACAGCCTCCTGTGTTATTGGGATAGGAAGTCTGCACCATCAGGCCCGGCTACTAGAAAATATCCTGATCTGTGACTTCAAGCCCTCTTCTGCTGAATAGTTTATGGATTTATCCCATAGATCATCCATGGAAAGAACTGTGGGAGTCACAGTGGAATTTCCAGGAATATTGCCCTCCCTGTCTAACCCAGTTTTGGTTTCCCTTTTGTGGTTATATAGGTGAGACGGGTATTGGCAAATCCACGTTGATGGACACTTTATTCAACACCAAGTTTGAAAGTGACCCCGCTACTCACAACGAGCCAGGTGTCCGGTTAAAAGCCAGAAGTTACGAACTTCAGGAAAGCAACGTACGGCTGAAGCTAACCATTGTCGACACGGTGGGATTTGGAGACCAGATTAATAAAGATGACAGGTATGTCTTAAGATTTTTGTAGCTGTAGAAATGAGTCAGGAGACAGGCAGCTCAAGGAAACTCCTTCTCAAGGAAGGTCCATCCCAGATACATTCAGAGGCCTAGAAGAAGACCCTGGTTAAGAATTACCAAATAGTGTCTGAATAACAACTGGAAGTCAGGGAGTTGAGCCTAATGAGGAATTTGGATCAATTGAACGAATTAAAATTTCCTCTATACAGAAAGGATTACCTAACTTAGGTGGTTTATATGACAAATTCCTGTGTATATATGGGAAAACAACTCTTAATAAAGAAATAAAATATTTTAAAAGCATTTGGCACAGTGTTTGCACTCAGGTAGAGGTTGCTCAATACTGGTGGATTCTGTGTGGTCCTAAAATCTGGCCCTGACTCATCACATAAACTTGAAGCTATATTGTAAAATACTGCAGCGAGTTTTTAGTCTGGGAAACACCAGCCCATTTGTAAAGCCACATAAATGTGGGTCTTCCCCATGAGTGGCTCTTTGCCTCTCTTTGAGGGAAGCTGTTAATTCTTAAAGCTTGCCAGAGAGCAATGATGTGTATGTTAACTGTCCTCACGGCCACATCCTCGCCAGTGACCTGGTCTCCATCTTCACTTGAGATGTTTGTTTAAAATGTTCTACTTGTTCTCAAACTGTGATCTGAACCTTTGGTCCATAACCCTCTGCTTTAGTTTCCTGTGAAATGGGTTTCCTTGCAGGTTGGCCAAACCAAATAGAGAAAACCTCATTTCTACCACCATGGCTATGGCAGCCTTATAATTTATAGAAAACCACGAGACCAGGGCCAGGCCATGTAGATACATGGTCTTTGGGGGGGGGGGGGCGTAACTAACACGGGTATTCTGCCTCAGGATGCCTCCCCTGTCTCCCTCAGTAACAGACTGCCTGCATTCTCAGTGTGGAGGCCTCTAGACCTTCCGGAGTTATGCTTTCCAAAAAGTGATTTAAGAAGGCCAAAACACATCTCGGGCCCAAAGATGATTCTAGACAAATCTTTGGATAGTGACGGCACTTTAGGTCTTTCTCGCCCCTTTTGGATAGTGATGGCATTTTAGGGCTATCTCACCCCTTTTGGATAGTGATGGCATTGTAGGGCTATCTCACCCCTTTTGGGTAGTGATGGCGTTATAGGGCTGTCTCATTCCTTTTCGAGTTCAGCAGTTGTGGGATGTTTTGCTTGTAAAATGTGTCTGTGACAGAGTTTTAAAAAATCCTTCCCTCAGAATGGTGTGTGTGTTTCTGTGGATGTATTCTGTAAAGTGGAGTTTGAAATCTTTTTGTGTAGGAATGCGTGTCATCTAGATACATTGTAACAGTATCCAGTAGAAGTAAGTATGCAGTTCCTGACAGAAATGTGCATTCATTCTTTAGCTGAGCAATGTGGTCTGTTTTATCTGCAGAGTACTTTAAACACTCGCAGTAGACATTGTTCTGTGCTAAAGTGCGCAACTGTTACTTTAGTGAAAAAGACTTGGTTTGCATATGGTCAAAGTAGGGCCATCTGTACTGCCTTGGGGAAGGGACAGCCAGGCTCTCTCTGACCTCCCTCTGACTTTCAGCGCCTAGACGTGGTGGTGGGGAGGTTGTGTCTGAAATCCATTTTAATGTGAAGTACAACACGTGAGGAGAAAATTCTGGGGACCAGGAGAAGGGCACACTTGCATTATGGGAGCTGGAGGAAGAGGCAGGTGCATTGTGGGAGCTGGAGACAGAGCCAGTGTCTGTTCCCTGCACTGTATAGGACTATGCGCAGTGGAAAACCTTGGCTCTTTGTGGGATAGATTTCGTCTGGGAATTGGGGAATCTCGTGTTTATGTGTTCCCTGGCTGGATTCTTGTCAGGGTTCCCACAGAACTGAGCACCAGCCTCCGTCTAACATCTGCAGAAGGACCATGGCTTTTCCAGCTTGCAGTCACTGCCTCAGCACCACCCCTGGTTTTTCTTTTGCCTCACCCTAACCGAGACTTCCCCTCAGACTGGTTTTCACTGGCCAGCAACAAGCTGCCGAACAGCTAAGCTAGCACCAGGCAGATCCTCATATCTGCATCTGGAGTCCTCTTTAAGAAATGAGCTGACTCATTTGGGTCAAATAATAGTTTCCAAGGAGACTCTGAAGACAGGAAGTGTGATTTTTAACCTAACCTAGATACCAATTATTTTTTCCTATTTAATTTCTTGACAACTCTTGCATAACCTCTTTGAATGACTTTTGAAGCTCTAGACCCAAGCCTCAAAAGGCATTGTTGACAATTGACTATAAACCTAAATGGCTTATCTAAAAACAGTTGCTGGCCAGTCTCTTTCCAGCAGAATATTGGAAGTGGGATGTGCATTTTTGTGTCAGTGTGTAACCGTATAGGAAGGGATGCACTTTCTCAAAACCAGGCTTATCTTTTTTTCTGTTAAGCAAGCTTTTCTGCCATAGATTCAGGACCTCAGGAATGTCCCAGTGTGTTTATAGACTTGGGACGTGTCAGCATTCTTGAACATTATCTGCCCCTGCCCTGGCTAGCTAGAAGGAGGCAGGAAGAGGGGTCTGGGAGGATTTCCTGTTTTGTTTAAGTCTTGTTTAAGGACTTCTTGCCCTGGCTGTCTGTACTCATGAGGGGAGGGGGTGTGGAGAGGCAAGAGCCAGCGAAGTCATGCTCCCTAACTAGAACCAGACTAGTTTGCCCCACCTTTGGGAGGTGCCATGAACTGTAAGGTACCTGCCTGGAAAGTGGACAGTCCAGCCCACCGAGAGAATCCCCGTCTCCACCATAGTTAGGAAGCAGCAGTGAAGTGCTGTGTTTGCTCTTCCTATTCAAGTTTCTAGTCAGCTTCCTGGTAGAGGCACCCAGAGGTAAGGAAAACGGTCTTTGGTTAACAGATAGCAAGAGAAGAGGGAAAACATGGTCACACGTTAATCATGGGGAGTGGGGTCAAATAACCATTGGCCATGTTGCAAGAATGATCATAGAAAAAAAAAATCTGCAGAGAACAGCTTTCCCCTGCGATTCGAGGGCGAACACATCTCATCTCACTGTGTTCTCATGGCTAGAAGCGTATGCTCAGAATGCACAGTGGTAAGGGATGGCCCCTGAGAAGGAGATTATGTTCAGTATAGCAACCCCTTTGTTCTTGCTCCTACCTCCTGCTCACGTGATAGGGCTGCAATCCAGACGGTGGACTGGGCCACACAGAACTAGACAGGTGCCCTTTCTATAGCGATGGAGACCAACAAAGGGCACTTAGGTTCCTCCGTATCTTTCTGTGAGCGCAGAGAAGTGGAAGGGGGTTGAGACACAGTGGGCTGCTTGTTTCGAGGAGACTGGGGAGAGAGCAGACCACGGGCTGGCCTGTTTCCCCAGAGGAAACTCTTCATTGTCTCATTCCCATAACGAAACTTTAGCCTAAGGAAATTGTTCTCCGAGAGCTCAGTGGCTTTTGTTTGTTTATAATGATATCATTTCCTCTCTCCTAGCCTTCTTTTTGGTTTTTTTCTCCCTCCTGCTTGCTTTAAAAAACCTCCTGGCATGTTCCTTTTATTGATTGGACATTTAGCTAGTGATGTTGGTGGGGACCAGTTATATTTCACAGTCTAGGCCTTCACTCCTGTGTGCTAGCTGGAGATTTCATCCTTGGCTGGGAAGGAAAGGGGCTGCATGTTGGACTCCAGGTTCTGGCACCCACAAGCGGACAGTGACAAGCGGGGAGGAAAGGCTCCTATGGGGCGTAGAAGAGAAGAGCCATCGGAAAGATTCGATAGGCAGCTGGGTGCAGGGATCTAAACCTCAGCGGAAAGACTGGGCTTCTCGGTCAGAATAAATGTGGTTTTCCAGGGTAACCGCAGAGGAAGAGAGGGTAAAGGGCTGGCAGGAATTTGGTAGAAGCAGCAAAGGAGGCCTAAGGGATAAGAGAGCAAAGGATTCCCAGCTCTCCAAACAATCTCCACCATGCTCCCACCCCACTCTACCCCAGCGTAGAGGCAATTACAAAGGGGAATTAGTAGAAAGCAGAAACAAGCTTGGAACTGCTCCTGAGACAAGGCAGGGACCGCCCAGACTCAGAAACAAGGAAGCAAGGACACATTGGGAATGTATTCTTCTTGGCGGGATAAGGGGGTGCTAAGAGGAACAGCCTGCCCCAGTGTTAGGAAACCCTGCGGCTCAGCCCCCAGACATGATGGGTGACCTCCTGGGCTGTCCACTTCCCCACAGGGTGGGGCTCAGTACTAGGGAAGTGGGTGCTGAAAAGGGTATGGAGTTCTTGGAGCGCTTTCTCTTCCCCTCTCCTTTAAAAAAATAAAACTCCAACCACTTTCCTTGGATTTACTGCATTCTGGGTTTATTTGTTTTATCTTTTTAAAGACAGGGTCTCTTATAGCCCAGGCTTGCCTGGAATTTGCGTAGCTGAGGCTGGCCTTGAACTCTTGGTCTTCCTTCATCTGCCTCCTGGTACTAGGATTAGAAGTGTGCACCAGGATCTACTCAAGCTATTATTTTGGTTCCTGACTTGTTTACGGGGAAAGTGAAGCACAGAAAGATTTAGGGACTGGTCCAAAGCCACGGGGCTGGTGACTATGATGCTGGCTTTTGGGCGCAGGCACTTTGACCTGAATCCATGATTCTCTTACACAACTACCTGAAAATGTCATCGAATGTGGGTATTGTTATGTAATTTGTACCTATATCTCAAAATTGAGAAACTAAAGATTCTCGTTATCAATCGCTATCCTTTACATTAGAGTTTTGCAATTCTTATTTTAATTGATGAGGCATAGTCTACCTTTTTTTTAAACCTGTAGAGAGACTGTTTACATTCTGCCAGTGGATTATGATCGAATCATTAAAGAAGGAACACAGTGAACAGTTGTTTAGTGGCTTAGGTGTAGGAATGCATACATGTGGCCCGGGCACTCTGGGAAACTAAGGCAGGAATGCCACAAGTTTGAGCAGAGGCTAGCCTGGGCAACATAGCAAGTCAATATTTTGCCTCCATACACCTAAACAAGGGGCTGTGGAGATGGCTCGTTCAATATAAGTGCTCACTATGCAAGCATGAGGACCTGAGTTCACCTGAAATACAGACCAAAAAAAGCCAGTAAGAGACCCTGTCCCAAAAAAGAAAGAGAATGGCTCTTGAGGAGCAGTGCCTGAAGTTGCCCTCTAACGTATACATGCGCGCGCGCACACACACACACACACACATATTACACACACAGACCGACAGACATACACCCTTCCACTCTCCTTAGGTGGGACATCTGCTTCATCCCACTGTAAGGTTTTGTAGTGTCCTGTCGGAGCGTCCAGTTTAATTTATGGGTCTGGGATCTGGGTGTTGAAAGACTTATTTTCCTACTACTGAATTGTTCTTGCAAACCTATAGCAGAAAGTAAGTCTGGAGAGAAGTAATGCCTTGCGTTCCTAACAGATCTATGCCTTTGCTGCTAAAACGGAGTCCCTCTGATTGGTTCCCTTAGAGACTGAAAGGGTTAATGGACTTCCCCACAATAACAGACTTGCTGCTTACTTTCTGAAGAATGTGTTCCTGATAGGCTGTTGGCGATTTTCATGGCCAGTTAATAGACGCGTCCATAGTCGTCCAAGACAGAGTTGGCTGTGACTTGGTGTGGAGGGACGGGGAACACAGTCATGGTCAGAGGACAGAATCTTAAATCACAGTTGCCCACGCTCGTCAGTGTCTTGATGAACTTTCGGGAATGCAGAGAGTTCAGCCTGCTCCTCTCTGGAGGGGATGTGCAGAGGGCCAGAGGAGAGCTGGGGTCAGCGATGTCCTATTCTGGAGTCGCAGGCTGGTGTCTTTCCCTGCACCAATGCCAGGCAGGCATTAGAAGCTGTCAGAATCACTTTATTAAGATGGGTTGTTTTAGAGGGTTGAGCTAAAGGACCTTGCGAGCGGAGGCATGAGGCACGTGAGGACGGATGTCTAGGACAGCACAGTACAATGGCCGTGTGCTGCTGGAACACAGAAAGAGAAGGTAGGAAGGGAGTCGAGGCAGGAAGTCAAGAACTTGGGTCCTGGCTCTTAGGGCAGAGTGAGTCACCCATAATGTTTCCCAGAAGACCGTTTGCTCCAACCTGCAAATTTTTTGAGACTAAAAAAATTGAAAAACTGCTCTTCTGCATTCTAGCTACAAGCCGATAGTGGAATATATTGATGCCCAGTTTGAGGCCTACTTGCAAGAGGAATTGAAAATTAAACGTTCTCTCTTCAACTACCATGACACGAGGATTCACGCCTGCCTTTACTTCATCGCCCCCACGGGCCACTCCCTGAAGTCCCTGGACCTGGTCACCATGAAGAAGCTAGACAGCAAGGTACGGGATGCAGTTCTATCCACTCTGGCGCTGTTTCTCTAAGGAGCCAGGTTATTTTCTGGAATGCATGTAGCTGGGCTTTGTTAACGCTTTCTTTTTTCCTAAATTACAGAGATAGAGGTTGTCCGAATGAGATGAGTGCCTAAAAACCTCTTCTGAGTGTTGATCAAGAGAAGTCAAAACCAGCACACGGCACTACCCTTGGTTCTTAGACAGGGACTGGGATATAAGCGTGGCATTTGTTTGCCCTCCTGGAGGCCTATAAAGCCCTGGCTATAATTTGAATTTAGAGTGATATCAGATTTTAATGTTTTGCCTGCTGGAGGACACTCAGCCTTCTAGATTTTCAACTGCACTCGTCTCAAAAGAAAATAAAGTCTGTGTTTCGTTTTTGGCCCTGGGCCTGGCATGTTTGTAGCCTCTGTTTTTACAGCTCTTGAAGGAAGGGGGCCCGTCGGCGTGATATAATCTGATGTCCAATTTTATAATTAATTTAGTTTTCTGTTTTGAAATAAGCAGAAAACATGATGTTCTGAAATGGGTGATACAAGGGCATCAGGAACAACCACAAACTAAGCTGTGGTACTTTCCCCGAGACTCTGAGCCCCTCTGGCACTCAGTGGAGATTCTCACTGGATGATCAAAGCCCTAAGATGTGTTTTTGGCTGTACCCATCCCCCCCTCCACACACACACACACCAAAAAACCCCCCCAAAACCAAAAAAAACTATTAAATGGATTATTTCTCTGCAGAGAACTAAGACATAGAGAGAATGTTCAGTAATTGACCTGTCCCCAAGCTCCCTTCTGAACCAGCCAGGCTCTTTGGGCTTCCAGCAGTCACCGGCATGGTGCTCTACAGAAAGATGCTCTACTGGCCTTAAAGTATTGTATTATTATTATTATTATTATTACCGCCACCACCATCCCCACCGGACTCTGCAAGGATAGCAGGCTTTCTTCCTCATCCCTTTCAATCCTCTGGACTCTAGTTCCTGGGGGTTTTACCTTGTCCCGCCTTGGTAGTGGCAGATCCCATATGGGGAGGGCTGCTCCCCTTCTGCCTGGTGCTTGGAAACCGGCAGGCCCTTCTGCTCTCTAAGCATCCATTTGTTAGAGACATTCTGAAGAAAGGAGGGGATGTAGCTTTCTGTCTGAGAGTTGAAAGGAAAAGGGAGAAACCAGAGGCCGAACAAACACAAACAAACCAAAGAGTCCAACCGCTAAGCAGATTCAACTTTCAGACAACTCAGTATGATATTATCGGGATCTGGGTGCCTTCTTTCAATGCTGATTAATTCAGTTTCATTTAAAAAGGTCAAGGGAAGAGTTAATCAGTTATCATTCTAGAAGATTGTAGTTGCCTGCTCATGTAGTGGTTGGGTGTCTCTATTTACCCTGGTCAGTTTGGCCAAGAAAGCCATGTTTTGTGTGTGTTTTTGCATCTCGGTCTGAAGTGTGTGCACAGGTAGTCAGTAAGCTGTACCCCTCGGGTTCTGATCAAGCCTTTGTCTGCTGTCAGGGATGCTCCCCTCCTCTGGAGGAAGCCCAAGCACATGGCGTTTGGGAGGATGCGAGAGAGAGAAATTGAAGACAGACTTCAGCACATCTCTCGTCTGGTTTGTCAGGAGTTTCTGATTTGGCTCCTGAAAAAGGAAAAGGCAAAAAATTCAAATGTGACTGAAAGACCAAGGGCTCCTAAACTGGGCCGAGAGTCTAGTCTAGACAGCTGTCCGTAGCATTCTCTAAAACCCCTGCGCCTACGAGAGAGAGGGAGAAAGTTCATCTTTAACCATGAATTTAAAAAAAAAAAAAATGTCATTTCTGTTGTCCCAGCTCTCAGGAGGTGGGGACAGGAGAATCAGAGTCCCAACCAACCTGGGCCTGGAGTGGGTTTGCCGCCGGCTACATGAGACCCTCTCTCAATGGGGTTGGGGAGTAGGAAATAACGTCCCACCTTGGGGCTTTGTGCCTGCATTCCCAGGTGTCCTGGCTCTTACCCTGGGACCGTCTGTCATTAATGTTAAACTGTAAATGCTCCCCTGTGTGTAACTGAGACTGAGAGTGAGCCTTGCTGCTTTTGAGTCAGGGTCCCACATAGCCCATGCCAGCCTCAGACTTCCTGTGTAGCTGAGGACAGCCTGGAATGCTTCACCCTCCAGACTCTGCCTCCTTAGCGCTGGCATTTGATGTGTGTGCCACCACGCTCAGGTGAGCCTTGCTTTTGATCCTGGATGAAAAAGTCATTTGATTAAAAACTGACTTTCAAAAGAATTAACTCTGAGTTTGGAAATTTTAAAAATATGTAATTTAAAAATATTTTATTTATTATTATTTTATTTTTGGTTTAATACTTAAATCCCCCAAATTCCAGAAAGGAACGGGGGTCCTGCATAGCACCGATGATGCTCTGCTTTAGCATTGCTGCCTGGGTAGCCACAAACCACGCCCCCGAAAGGAGTAGTTGTTTATTCACAGAGTGACCTGGCTCCCTCGTTGTCACTGTTGTCATATGTTGTCCTATGTTGTCATAGAGTAAAAGCACTTCCTTTTACCCTGTAAAGAGGGAGGCGGTGCAGGAGAGGAAATTGCAAGTGTCAGTGTGAGATGCAAGGATGGCAGTGTTCAGAGGGCGAGCCAAGATGATCCTGTGTCTGCATCTCACTTCTCATGGGTGTCTGGTCGCCAACATCACCTGCATTGTACAGTGGTGCCCTCTAGCTTCTTTTGTTCCTGTGTCTAGTTTTCCTTATTGCAGCAGGATTGTGTGAACGAAGACATGCTTGCTTTGCAGGTGAACATCATTCCAATAATTGCAAAAGCGGACACCATTGCCAAGAACGAATTGCACAAATTCAAGAGCAAGATCATGAGTGAACTCGTCAGCAACGGAGTCCAGATTTATCAGTTCCCCACAGATGAGGAAACGGTGGCCGAGATTAATGCAACGATGAGCGTGAGTCCTCAGTCAAATGGGGAGTGGAGGGAGGCCTTCCAGAATGCGTGTGTGTGGCAGCATCGCAGAGGGGCTGGAAAAGCCTGCGCTGGGGTCTTCAGTGGGACTCTAGCCCTGCTGTGGCTGCGAGTCATTTAACTAGCCAGTGCCTCAGTTTCCCCAGCTGTCAAGTAGGAAAGAGAGTCAGGATTGTTTTAGCTTTCTGCCCACCGCTGATTTCCACGGGGAGTCTTCTAGGAATGTGACAGTAGCCCGGGACCTCATACCAAGCTGCTTGAAGGAAGGAGCCCTTGCTCTGTCCATGTTGACAGAGATATGGCTGCCTTCCTTTATCTCAGTACTGCTCTCCCCTCTGAGCTGTTTCCCTGAATCTGCAGGTAAACGGGAAGGTAAGGGGATACTGTCCACAGCACAGGTAGCTATCAGGAGATAAAGGTGTTAGCTCACTGGCAGGTCTCCTCTAGCCCAGCTGGGCCTCAGACTCAAAGTATAGCCAAGGCTGACTTCACACTTTTGATCCTCCTGCCTCAGCCTCTTGAATGCTAGGGCATAAATCACCTTGACTGGATCAGTTGCCTTTTTCCCTCAACCATAATTTATTTACCTATTTTGGGGAGTCATAAGGGCTTTTCTTTTTAAATTAATTTTTAGTGTACAGAAGTCTTGGTTTTCAAAAGCATGTTATTGTACTTTGCTCATGCTAACTAACGCCTACGTGGAGAGCCAAGGAAGCCCTGAGTGAGTGTGTAAGGAGCTACTGAAGTCCTGACAGAATATGTACTGTTGACTTGGGACAATATTAAAGAGAGCTGAGGCTCAGAGGGGTAGCTAAGCCTTTCTCTAGTCTGAGTGTAAATGTTGACAGTGTGAATAAGTGCAAGTGTATGCTCACAATTAATTAGTGTGTACAAAGACTAGCAACTGCAGTGTCTTCCTGAGGTTCACTGCTCACTACAGAGACGTCCTGCTGAGGCTAGCCAACCCTGCCCCTGTGCTGTACATAATCAGCTGGATGGGGTTCTAGGCGTGGTAGAGTAGTAAGTATCATGCACGCTCCATTAGTGTGCATAGCCTACCTGACCTTGGTGTTTCTGTGTACGTGCCTGTGTCTGTCCTTTCTTAATTCTTTCATTGCCTCAGTTAGGACAATTCATGTTGAATACCTACCAACTTTGTAGTTTTTTTCCTTCCCTCAAAGTCCCCCTTTGCTTTCATGTCACACACATATGCACACACACACACATTTGTGTCTAGGGTCCCATACAAAAAGAAACATGAGATGTTTTGTTTGTTTCTTTCTTCTCTCTTGCTACACACTCCTCTCCCTTTAAGTCTATTTTCCCCCATTTATAGGCTCCTTCCTGTAGAATGAGGGGCCTTGCTTGTTGGGGGTTTTTCTGTCCTGCCGGCCCCCCCGCGGTGTGGTCGCGGGGGGAAAGAACAGTGAGATCTCTATAAGTTATAAAGCTGATTGGCCCATTAGGTCTAGCCTCTTACTGGCTAACTCTCACATCTTGATTAACCCATTTTTCTGATCTATGTTAGCCATGTGGCTCAGTACCTTTTTCAGTGGGGCAGCTCACATCCTGCTGCTTCGGTTATTTGGGCAGGAGTGTGAGTAATCAACTTCCTCCTCCCCAGAATTCTCCTGCTCTCCTTGCATCATTTCCACTTCCTGTCTGTTTTTCCCGCCTATACCTCCTGCCTGGCCAATTGGCATTTATTTAAAACATGATTGACAGAATGCAGACAATTCTCTCGCACCACCTCCCCCTTTTTGTGGTACATACATGTGTTAGTTGTTAAATCTAGACTTGGCAGTTGCTCCTGTCACATTGAGTGGGCACTATTTCCTGGATTAATATGTCAGAACGTTATCTAGTAAGATCTTGACAGACTGTTTCTTCCTGACTGCTCAGTCCCAAATAATACACAGAAACTGTATTAATTGCAACACTGTTTGGCCAATGACTCAGGCATATTTCTAGCTAGCTCTTACATCTTGAATGAACTCATTTCTATTAATCTTTTTTTTGGCACGAGGCTGTGGCTTACTGGTAAGGATCCAGCATCTGTCTCCTTCAGCAACTACATGGTATCTCTCTTTCTCTACCTTCTTTTCTCTTCTATCTCTGCTTAGAATTCCCAACTTGCTTTGTGCTGCCCTGCCACAGGCCCAAGAATTCTGCTTCTTTATTCATTAACCAGTAAAAGCAACACATATACAGAAGGACTTCCCACACCAGCAAGCTCCCTTTCTCTTTACCTACAGGGACTACATTTTGGTTTCAGATTTGGGATTTGAGAAAAATAATGTGTTCTCCTTCCTATAGTGTGAGAGATTGATTAGGAAAAAATTTAAAGATTTATTTTATTTTTAGCTAAGGGTTGTTGACACACGCCTTTAATCCCAGCACTTGGGAGGCAGAGGTAGGCGAATCTCTGTAATTTTGAGGCCAGTCTGATCTATATAGCAAGTTTCAGGCCAACCAAGGCTACATAATTAGACCCTGTCTCAAAACAGAATTATTTTTAATTGTGTGGATGGGTGTATATCTTTATGTGAGTATATGCATTTGAGAGCGGAGGCTTTGGAGCTGAAGCGGTTGTGAGCCCTCGTCCTCCCAAATGGGTGCTGGGAGCAGAACTCTGGTCCTCAGTAGGAGCACTGCACTCAGTTGTAACTGCTGAGCCGTCTCAGGTACCCTGGACCAGGAAACTCAGATATCTTGTGCATTGCACTAAAGCCATGTGTGCAACCTGAGCTGTGGATGCTGCCAGATCCTGTGTGGAAGAAGATTCATCTTGAAAACCTCCTATTCCTTTTCCACAGTGGACAGGGAGCCGTAAATAATTCTCAGAGCAGCCACTTCAGATCTTCTTACTCCTGTGTGCTACTAGAAAACAGTTTTCTCCCCCACTGCCAGGATGGAGCCATAGCTACCAGATAACCCTATGTGGAAGAGTCCGTTGTCTTGGACACCGTATCATTTCTACCAGGAAGTAGAACAGCCATATTCAATAGCAATATAATGTAAGCTAGGCATAGTCCGTTTATACCTCACCAATGCAATGATTCCATGGCAGGCCTTTGGAGTCCGTTGTTTGCTTCTAATGACCCCAAGCCTCAGGTCAGAGTTCACATCCATCAGAAAGAATTGATCTGCATTTATCTGTCATGAAATTACAATCAAGGGGCAGATCATGCATTTGTCATTCCTAACATGCTTTAAAGTTTTTCAGTATGAAGACAGTTACCCAAGATAATTTTTCTTTACTTTCATAAAACCCTTCTGTCTCTTTTGTTAAAGATTTGGTTTGAGCTCAAGGCTATATGAAATGCAAATTCCTACCAATCAATAAATTTAATATTTAATGGGAAGATATTTTGCGTTGCTTTCATTTTTAAATTTAAGTGAGAATCAATAAAAAAAGTAAATGAAATTTAAAAGTAATCACCTTGATCTCACAAGCCATATATATTTCAAAAGATTTACTTACCTTTATTTTGTGTGTGTGGCATATGTACCACGTGCATGCAGTGCCCGTGGAGACCAGAAGAGGGCATCAGATCTTCTGGAACTGGAATTAGCCACCACGGTGTAGTTGCTGGGAACTGAACCTAGGTTTCGTGGAGGAGCGGCTAGTGCTCCTAACCACTAAGCCATCTTTCCAGTCCTCCACAAAAGCCATGTTTAAGTATCCCGTGGACACGGAATAGATGGCATGCAGCTCAAGCTCAAGTCGGTCCTCAAATCTAGTGTGTATGGGCTGGAGAGAATATACTTCATGAAGGGCATCTGCCTAGCTACAGGGTCCGTCTGTCTGTCCCCATTCCCCCCCCCACCCCGCTTCATGTGACCACCTTTTCTCTACATAAAGAGGCCCCTCTCTAGCAGGGAGAGTGATGGGGTCAGAGGCTATGATTGGAGCTGCCGAGGATAACCGCTTGCCTCTTCTGTTGCCTGGCAGGTCCACCTCCCCTTTGCGGTGGTTGGCAGCACTGAAGAAGTGAAGATTGGCAACAAGATGGCCAAGGCCAGGCAGTACCCTTGGGGAGTGGTGCAGGGTATGTCTTGTCATGGGAACGGGGCTCTCACGTTAGTGCGCGTGATGGAGAAATGATGGCCACAGCCCTTCTCTAGCCGTGTTGTCTAAGGAGGCGTCCACCTGGCGCAGGCGGGAAGGAGTGGCACCATTTAGCCACCGTGGGTCTGAGGAAGAAAGAAATGGTCTTCAAGCAGGTAGACAGGCTAAGAAGCAACTGCAGGCCCTGAGCCTGAGGCGGCCCCTCAAGATGTTGGGCTGTGTGGGAAATTAGTAAAGAATCCTAAAGGATGAAAGAGTTCTTCCCAGGGAGTTTGAGCCAATAGCACCAGCAAAGTATCAGAAAGCTGGGAGAGAGCAAGTCTCCCAACAAGAGGGCTCTTGTTTCTTCCTGGTCACCGGGAAAGCTGTTTTCCAAGGAAATGTTATTTCAGCAAATGTTATTTCATATCGGGTGGCCGGGAATAGTGGTGGTATTTAAACACTGCCCTGCTGGGTTGGGGCAGCTTGGCATGGTGGTTAGGAATCTGACTTTGGAGCCACACCTTACCCCTATTGGGGAGTCAGCTGGCACCCCAGACCTCTGCATCTGCAAAGTGAGCCACAGTCTGCATGGTAGGATGGTCAGGGAGGTAAAGGAAAGATTTGGGGAGCCCCTCCCTCAGCACCCTCTTTCCACCATCGTGGTTAGTGCTTCATTGGGAATGCAGGGAGCGACCACCAGGGCACCTCTATGCCTCTGAGACCTCCGAGGGACAGTGACAACCCCTCCGGAGTGTCACTTCGGTTGTCGGTGACTTCGCTGTTGATGGCCTTCCTCCCCTTTGCTGGTTTCCTGTAGTGGAGAATGAAAACCACTGTGATTTCGTAAAGCTGAGAGAGATGCTGATCCGCGTGAACATGGAGGACTTGCGAGAGCAGACGCACACGCGTCACTATGAGTTGTACCGGCGCTGTAAGCTTGAGGAAATGGGCTTCAAGGACACCGATCCCGACAGCAAGCCCTTCAGGTAGGAGTGCACACAGCAGACAGGCGTCTCAGCTGTGCTGGGCGGTGGATCAGCGCACCCCGGAAAGGATTGTTGAGAATGAGGCTCTGGTACTACAGCGGCTTGGTAGGGAGGGATTAATAGCGCGAATCTTCAGGGGCTGTGATACCCACCTGTCATTAGCTCTGCTCAGTGAAGTGGGTGTTGTTGCTCGTTTACACGCGCTAACGTTTAAAGCACTCAAAATGTAAACAACCTGCCTAAAGTCCCGTAGTTAGGGAAAGGGGGTTGTTCTGAATCCTGGTTCCTGAGCCCAAAGCTCTTCATTATGTTTGTGGGGTGTAAGGCCTGACCCACTCCCCCACATTCGCCACATTCATTTGTGCTGAACAGATCTCACTTCCTAAGGCCACTAGCTTTCAAATACTCTTTTTAAAAAAGAAAGTGTGCGTGTGTATGCGCGCATGTGTGTGTATGTGTGTGAACGTGTGTAAATGCGCACGCTCTTGCCAAAGAAGCCAGAAGAGGGTATCAGTTCCTCTGGTGCTGGAATTACAGGTGAGCAACTTGATGTGGGTTCTGGGCACCAAAGTCAGGTCCTCTGGAGGGGCAACCAGTGGCTTAACCACTGAGCCATTTCTCCAACCCTCAAGTTCTCTTGATTTTTTTACACTGGTGTTCAGTTCTGACAGAGGGTCGGAAAGGAAAAGTCTTAGAGAGTTTATGTATTTCCGCGTCACAGATGGATGGACAGGGATGGGCAGACGAAGTGTGAGAGGAAAGAGAGGTGATCGGAGCTGGAGAGGTGGCTCAGTGGTTAGATTCTAGCACCCATAGCAAGGCTCCTGGCCGTCTGCAGCTTCAGTTCTGAGGGATTTGATGCTCTCTTCTGGCTTCTTTGGGCACCAGGCACACGTGTGGTGCATACATAAATTCAGGCAAAACACCCCTACACATAAAAATAAATTTAAAAGCAAGCTAGGCTCAGCACCTAGCAACGGCCCACCTTCTGATAGAGCTTGCCATGGTGGGGAAAGATAGCTGGTTGGGTTGATTGGAGGAGCTGCTCTGAGTCACTGTGGAAGGTGCGGCTCAAGGCCAGGTTGCCACCTCCTGGTAGAGGAGGGGATCGTCCAGTCTGAGCCTGAGCAGATGGCCTAAGGGCGATCTCAGTTGAGCCAAGTGAGGTTTGTCTGGACCCTGAGCCTCTTCTGGTTAAAGCTGCTGTGCCTTTGGAGCGACTTGTTTTCCACCTCTTGTGGCCACCACAAGGACACGCTCTAAAAACGTACGAGCCACAGAACTGATGGCCTCCAGTGCTGAGTGAAACAGTCTCCAATCGTCTGAACGGCCCCTTTGCGGGAGGAGCTCTCTCTCGGAACCACTTTAGAGAAAGTTCAGTACTTTCTGGGCTGGTTCCCCACACAGTGAAACTGCACTCCCATAAGCATGTCTGTGTCTGTGAGAACAAATGTAAATCTCATACAAAGGACTGGCTTCTAGCCGTCCGTCATGTAATCCGGTCCTGCAGGCTTGTGGACTGTCTTCAGCCAGGTAGGATGTGGTTCTGCGAAGGCGGGTGTAGCAGGTCTTTCTATGCTTGCAATGTTTTTGTTACCAGAAACCAAGTTCATAAAACCAAGCGCACTCGAGGGTTAGTAAGTCTGATGGAAAATGGCTTTTGTATAGTGTATTTGTTTCCATGTACAAAAGCGGAACAAAGAAACTTCTGTAAAGCTGAATGACGTGGCCAGGGCCAGACAGTGTGGAGGAACACGGCATCGGGGGCCTGAGTTCAAGTCTTGGCTCCTCTGCTCCTCATGTCTTACCCATCTGGGCCAGATCAGGGAGCAAAGCAGACTTAGCAAGAGGACTTTCTTTACTGATTCAGTTCTACGGACCATAGAGTCTCATCACCGTATCCAGTTCTGCTCATCCCATTGGGAAGCACCTTAGACCGTAATATAAATGAATGGGCATGTCTGCATTCCAGCCAGTAAAACCTTACTGGCAATGACAGTAAGCAGGTGGCTAAATCTGTTTCTGTAATCTGCCAACACCTGGACCAGGTCACCGCCTGGACTCCTTGCTGCTTAGGTTGTTAGAGGTCATTTGCCTCTCATTGTGTTAAAAAAAAAACATTCTGCACACCTGTGTTCTTTTAAGTGCTGGAATTTGAGAAATTAGAGGGTCTGGGATGCTACCTGTTCCTGCTAACGCCAGGAGAAGCCAGGTGGTCTGTCTGCCTTTCATCAAAAAGACCGGCCTTCCCTTCAAGATGGCCAGGGCTGCTTTCCTGCCTGTGCAGGCAAGCAGTCCATCCTTCTGTCCACCTGCCTCCCTGCCCCCCAGTCCCCCCACTGACTCTGTTGCTGGTATTTTTATTAAGGCAGCTCCTACATGCTCAGGGTAAGGGCCCGCCTGGAGGAGGCCCAGCAGGGCTGCAGGCTACACCATCTTCCAGGCTTCAGACTTAGCTGATGACACTAGAGTTACGATCCCCACCTCCTTCCCCATTTGGTCCCATTTCTATAGGCCTTAAGTTTCTTTTTTGATGTTGAAATAGGAAAATGTTTATACCTATACATTATAACCAAGACTCAAATACATTATAACCAAGACTCATATACATTATAACCAAGACCCATGTACATTATAACCAAGACCCATGTACATTATAACCAAGACCTGTATCTAAACAAAAACAAAGGTGAAAGTAGAGATTTTAAAGATAAATTCATTACCTCGGTAACTAGGACAGGGTTTTCCATTTAAAATGGAGATGGGTCCTCCTTGTACAGTCATCCACTCGCTCAGACGTCCTTCCTGCTGTGGGAAAGATCACCGCAGGGACCTGACTTTGGTCTGGTGTGAAGTGAGTTTGAATTCCCTGTCTTGGTGGCACTGTGTTAGGAAGTCAGCCTCTCCCTTGGGACTCTTGGGCCTGCAGCAGTTCCTAAGTCTTGGGGAAGTGTAACAAGGGGCGCAGAGCTAAAGACACAGAAACCACAGTTGATCTTTGACGGCACCATTCCCAGATGTTCTGGTTTTCCCTCCTTCCAATGTCAACATTTGATGTTTTCATGCACGTCAAGTCTACCTTGGACAAAGCGAGCGGAAAAAGGACCTGGTAACTGACTGACCTTGTCCAAGTTGAAACCTTTTACCACACCAGTGTCTTCTCAGGTCTCACTGTGTAATCCTCACTGGCCTCTAACTTGCCGTATAGGCCAGACTGGGCTTGAACTCACGGAAACTCAACCTTCATCTACCTTCCTAGGGCTGGGATTGGAGGTTTGTGCCGCCAGGTCTGACCTTCTCAGGCATTTCCAGGTAAACTGAGATGCCTCCGTTGAGTTGCTCTCTAGAAGTCTTACTAGAAATAACAACAACAACAAACAGAAAAAGAATTGCAGCAGAATCAGCTACTACAGTATCCATTTAGTAATTCAGTGCTGTTTCTTTTACAGCCAATAATTATTTCATTGATGTTAAAACCTTAACTCCCTACGCCTTTATATTTAGCTCAGATCTCTCAAGATGAAAACGCTCCTGGATGTGCTTGGGAGCTCCCCTCCCCAGGTGCAGTTGGGGTGACTGGGAGAAGTATAACTGAAAGGCTAAAAGTTTTTAAATTCTTCAAGCAGAGATTTCCTGTTCTTTGGAGCAGGCTGTGACCTCCGATGTGTGTTTATTGGGCCACCAATTCTAGTAGTGGGAGCTAGTGGGAGACCACATAGGGTAGGGCTGGGCAGTTCTGGGCAGCGAGAGTACTAGCGCTCACCCATGGTCCTGGTGTTATCCTTGAGCCCACCTAGATTTAGACACGTACCTTTCTTGTTCTCTAAAAGATTGCCCAGATACCGGGGCACCAGCGGCTCTTTCCTCTGTCCACCCTTCCCGTTTGTTCTATGCCTGTGGCTCTGTGGCCTTGGAGCACAGTTCCGCCAACCAGAGCACCCAAGACCTTCTTGGGCTAAGGTCTGTCCCTCTTTGAACCCCTTTCTGTCAGGCATTTTAGGGTGAGTTAGGAGAGGGGCCAAGTTTGCCATGGGAACTAGTGTTTCTGGGCTTTTCTCCTGAGACACCATTGCCCTTTATGGCATACCCCTGTCCAAATTGTTCCTTCTTCCTCTCAAAGTAGCATCTTCTCTCTGACTCACAGAAAATGCTCGGGCACCACCCTCTTCTTCCACAGAGTCCCCTCAGGCTGTTTGAGGGGTCTATAAGGCCCTGGCTCACCAGCCAAGTGGAAAGCAGGTAGGGCTCCCATCAGTGAGTGGCCTAGGTTCAGTCCTGGTGCCTTGACATCTTCATGGTACAACCAAGGCAAAATGACCACCCTGTGCCTCCATCTATAAGACAGGGAGTGGGAGCTGTCTACTCTATGGCCTTATTACAGGGATTAATGTGTTCATGTGGATAAAGTGTTCCGTACGTCCTGGTGACAATGACCAGACCCTGACATACCTTCTATGAGATGGTTCCAGGAGAATCAGACAAGGAGGAGGCCACTCTCTCTGAACCCCTAAGATTTGGAGTGTCCTTTTCTTTGATGCCAGCGAAGAAAACCTTCTATGGGCTTCCAAAGAGAGCATCACGTCCTCCCGACCCAGCTGAGAACCTTGTGAGATGACCACAGCGTCTCACTTAGCAGAGGGAATCAAGGGCTCCGGTTTAAAAGCTGTTAACTGCCAATGATGCCCTGGCTGTGGTGCCCCTGTGCATGCTGTGCACACAGGGAGTCTTCTGAGCTGGCTAGGGATCCATGCATCTGTATTTAGAAAGTACACTAAGTTGTATCCATGTGGTCACGGTACACTGTGAGGGTGGACCCACTGGTGCGTGACGGATCCCCTGATGGAGGCGCATGCTTGCTATTTTGACTCCAGAACCCGCCCCTTTGAAGTTCTTCCCCTGAAGCTAGGTCATGATCGCAGAACACAGGCTGGGTGTGTTTCTGCATAAGGAACATTGTCTGTTCATGGTACTAAATAGAAAACTAAATTTTCTGTAAGGTTTTGTAGCAGGGCCAGGCTATCCTTTGTGCAAGTCAGATTCACAGATACAGGTGACGAGTTTCTCACAAGCTGATGGAGACAGTCATTTGTGAGTTTACTTTAAAGGAACTACTGATAAAATTCTAGGTCTCTTAAAATTGAACTCTAAACATCGCTTTAATATTAGCCAATACTAATATTTCCAACTTGTTTTTGTCTCATAAAATAAAAATAGCTTCTGAAACTCAAGGCGCATGCTTGCTTACCAGCAGAGAGCTTTGGCAACATGCAGGGCGGGAAAACTTCTCTTCTGTGGGCGAATGAGGTGGCCGACACTCCGAACCTAGTTGCACGCTTCATATGACTGTAACTTCTACCTGTTGTTGTGTTCCCGCACCAGAGTGCTTCCCCACTGGGTGTTCCTCTTTCACCACCTGAGTGGACAAGTGTGAATTCTGAGTGCCGTCAGAGGGTTCCTGGGAGTACCCAGGGCCGCCATCTAGGCTGCAGTAGAGTATGCCCTCAGTGTGAATTCAGTCTGCGTTAAAGGTAGACGCCACCTGCAGGTTCTGTTACTATCCAGCTGTCCTAGATAAACTGCTAAGGAGAGAAGGGAGTGCCATATACACAGGAACTCCTGTTTCTTTGTGGCACATGAGGTGTGCATGCGTGCGTGCATCCTTTGTGTTACTAAAGGCGCTTTCTTCCTCTGGAAATGTCTTTGTTCTGACAGAGATGCAGTTGAGTCGTGGCGTGAGCGTAAAGTGCGGGCTGTGATAGAGAGAAAGAATACAGGGTCAAATAAGACTCCTCCCCACACCACTTAAAATTGTGCTGTGGCTTGTGAAGTGACAGCTTTCTACCCTGTCTTTCGAAGGTAGTCTTCTCATGAAGTCTGTTGTTCTCTTTGTGGGTAGAGTGAGCTGAGCAGAGGAAGGGAAGCCCTTAGTCAGCACGGCTTGTATGACACGCGCTCTTCTCAGCTTCCTCCTAACTCATTCACACAGTCTCAGCTCAGGGAAGTAAGGGCTATTGTGTCTGAAACCTTCCATCCAGGGGACTCAGAGCCGCGCCTACAGGACTACTCTGTCTGACTCCCAACGCCTGCCGTTTCTCCTAGGTTACTAGGTCCGCCATCTTGCAGAACTCTGTGAACCTGGCGGGGTAACTGCAGGCGTTTGTCACTGCACGATGCTTTTGGACATAGTTGTCTCAGCATAAAGAGGAAGAAATCCCATGTCGCTCATGCTTTAGTGTGGAAATGACAGTTGTCTCTCTTTTGTCTTTTCTTTTTTTTTAATTGGGGGAGAAGTGGCGTGCACTGAAATGTATGATGGTGCCTCATGCCCCCTCTTCGTTTGTGGGTTTTTCGTAGCCTTCAGGAGACGTATGAAGCCAAAAGGAACGAGTTCCTGGGTGAGCTGCAGAAGAAGGAGGAGGAGATGAGGCAGATGTTTGTGATGAGAGTGAAGGAGAAAGAGGCGGAACTGAAGGAGGCCGAGAAAGAGGTGAGCCGCCGTCTTCCCCGAGCCTGAAACCAGAGGCAGGCTTTCTCTTAGCACTTTGTAACTAATGGGGCTTTACACTGGTACAGGGTGCATTCTCCTTCCCCTTCAGGAGCAGCTTCCCCACCAGGCAAGGAATGCCAGCCAGATATTCTCGCCCCCGTTAGCAGATGGCAAACTGAGAGCCATGAAGTTGAGTGATTTTTGCAGTCGCCAAGACTAAAGCCAGTTCTTAGGGCTCTAGCCCTGATCATGTGATTTTTTTTCAGCTCCTGAGTTCCTCAGTTTGTAAGTCTTCAGATGTGAGATTTGGGGTTCAGCCAACTAAGCAGTGGAGGCGCTTTGCATTATTGGTCTTACCCACGCCCCAAGCTCCTGCCCACTGCTTCTGTTCCAGCACATTCCCTGCTATGGCACCCTCTGACTCTACTTGGGTCCCCACCCAGAGAAACCTCACTGTTAATATGAATTTTTGCCACAGCACTTCCCTATGGCTTGGTAGTCTTTGAAATAATGTTTGTGTCTTATCTTGTTTTTGAAGACTAGCGAGGCTTGGGCCTGCAGAGACGGCCCAGTGGGTGAGAGCACTGGCTGCTTTCTCCTGAGGATAGGGCTTCAATCCCCAGCACCCACATGGTGGCTCACAACCGTCTGTGACTCCAGTTCCAGGGGATCCAAAGCTCTTTTCTCATCTCTGTAGGCACCAGGCATGCAAGCGGTGCACAGACATAGATGTAGGCAAAACACACATACACCTAAAAATAAATAAGTCTTTTTTGTGAAGCTAGTGAAGCTCAGAGGTCATTCACGTAGCTAAGTGCTTAATTTTGCTGCAGAGAAAGGAAAACTGATTGATGGGCTAAACTTCAGACTGGCAACCTGCTGTTTTTATTGTTTTGGTTCTGAAGATCAAGACAGAGCCTCACACTTGTGTGGTAGACCTTCTACCACTGGGCTCTGCCCCAGCCTGTGATTTTTCTCAGATGTTAAAAGTTATTCTTATTTAAGCAGTTAGTGTGTGTATTGCTAAAATATATGTGTGTGCATATGTATGAACATTGTGTTCATGAATGCCCCAAAACAAGAATCCACCTTTGTCATAAAAGTGACTTTGTTATTAAGCCTCTGGTTAATTTTTACCCTTTTTGTGCTTTTTTTTCTTTAAAAAAGAAAAACCTCCATTATCTAAAATTGTGTGTGTGAGGGGGTGGGTCTGAAGACAACTTGAAGGAATTGGTTTTCTCCTACCACGTAGGTTCCAGAGATCAAACTCAGGGCCGGCTTGGCAGCCAGCACCTTTACCCACTAAGTCACCTTGCTGGCCATCTTTATGTTCTCACAGATAACGTACTTTATTTTTGAGTATGGCAGTATATGCTGTTAGTCCCAGCACTCAGGAGGCAGAGGCAGAGAGATCTCTGTGAGTTTGAGGCCAGCCTGGTCTCCATAGTAAGTTCCGTGATCACCAGGGCTACACAGAGAGACTTTGTCTCAAAATACCAAAAATAATAAGCAGAAATGAAACAAGCACTTTATTATCATAGAGAGGGCCTAAGAGGTGCTTAGTCCCAAGGTGCTCAAATGGCAGATGCTCAGGGCTCAGTGGCCTGCCTTGCTCCTCCATAAGCCACCCAGATCCTTCCTCTTGTCTTGGTCCCTCTTCTGTCACTGTGAGGAGACACCATGACCCCAGCAACTCTTACCTAAGAAAGCATTTAATTGGGCCTGGCGTGCAATTTCAGAGGTTTAGTCCACTATCATCATAGTGGGAAACCTGGCAGCGTGCAGGCAGACGTGGTTCTAGTGAAGTAGCTGAGAGTTCGAGATCAGGGTCTGCAGGAAGAGAGAGCTGCAGGGACCCGAAGCCCCCTCCCCAATTCCCTCAACGAGGCCACACCTCCTAATCCTTTCCAAATAGTGCCCCTCCCTAATGACTAAGCATTCAAACATCTGAGCCTATGGGGGGTGCATTTTTATCCAAACCACCATTGAGTAAGTGCAACCATTGACGGCACCCTGATTTTGCACGTACCCACACAGCCTGTGCCACCCAGGCTTCTGTTCCTTTCGCCGAGCCCATTTCCCTTTCTCCCTCTCAGCTTCACGAGAAGTTTGACCTCCTGAAGCGGACACACCAAGAGGAGAAGAAAAAGGTGGAAGACAAGAAGAAGGAGCTTGAGGAGGAGGTGAGCAACTTCCAGAAGAAGAAGGCGGCGGCTCAGCTTCTGCAGTCCCAGGCCCAACAGTCTGGGGCCCAGCAAACCAAGAAGGACAAGGATAAGAAAAAGTAAGCAGGTGTCGCCCGCCTCCTGGGGACCGCTAACAATCTCTTCCTCTTGCATGTCCACCTTTCCTACTTACAGACTGGAAACCGGTCTGTGGCCAGAAAAATAAAAGCAAGTATTTTTCTCTAAGGTGCAGGGAAGATGACAGGTTTTTAGAGGGTGCAAGGGATTAACTTATACACATCACTGTGGTGATCGCGCAGTCAGGACTGGAGTAGCCTATCAGCTCTTGTAGCTGCTTCAGTGCCAACTCTAGGAGACCCCGCTGGAGGCATTGTCATGACTCTTGGTAAGGGAGCAGTCTAAAACTCACGGCTGCTCACGTGGTTCCCTGCTCTGTTGGACAGGATGGGGAACCGGCTCCTGAATGCTATTCCCAAGTGCAGCTACTGGACACTGGTTATTGTTTTTTTTTGTTTTTTCCTCCTAAATTCAACAAGCTGGATGACTATTTTATTGTGTAACTTAACCAAAATGCCCACCCATTTAGGAGAGCCCTAGCAAGCCTCATGCCACCCCTGAACTCCACACAGGAGCAATTACAACACAGTTTTGATTTCAAGTACCAAAGGGCCAGTTGCTGCTCTTGTGTGGTCACTTCTGGTGGCACCCCAGAAGCAGCTGTCAGAAACCAGCGAAGAGGTGCACTTCCTTGGACTTCTGTGATTTAAAGCTGTCCATTGAGTCACCTTAAAGAGCACAGGGGGCGGTGTTGTGACAGTAGCTGTGGGTTTGACAAGTATGGTGCTACGGAAGGACCACTTTTCCACGGCCCCATTACCAGCCCTGGGATGCCACGCTCCTCTTTAGAACCTGCTAGGCTAATGTGGCCGTCCAGGCAACCCTGGAGCCCGCTTCGGGGTTCTCATTCTTCATCCTTAGATGCTAAGGTGCTGGGAGAAAAGCAGCCACCGAGTAACAGCACAAACGGTGATGCTGGTGCGAGCAAAGGCTTCCTTCTTTGAAAAATGTAGCACTTAGGACTGAGTCTGCACAGTCCTGATCGAGAGACGGGCAAAGCAGCCCAGTTCTGTCGCCGCTTAGTCCTGGTTTGTGCACAGCAGGCTTACCCCTGAGGACCTGTGGTGTGCCTGTAGCCTTTCCAGCACTGTGGTGACATACTGGAAGGCTAGTAAGTCATGCTCTACACACATTGCTTTTGCAAGCTCTGAGGCAGTAGGAAGTGTTCCAGCGAACAAAGGAGCGGGGGAAGCCGCTCAAAGCAATAGCAGGAGTAGTCCGCGTAGATAACGTACGATTTTAATTGGGGTTGGTATAGATCCAACTCATCAAAGGGGTTCAGCAGCCCAAACTGTGGGCCAAATCAGAGAAACCCTGCCTTGATAATCTAGTTCAATACAACGCTTTGTTGCTGTGTGTTGGAAAAGCTACTAATACTGATAGTGGCATCCTTACACAGTGAGTGGCATCCCCAGCTAGCAAGCCAGAGGCAAAGCCTTTATCTGGGAAAAACTACAGGTGTGCGGGGCGGGATGCTCACTCAGAGCTTAGGAAGCCCAAGGGTATGCTTTCTTATCCTGAAGCATTAAAGGGGCAGAGGTACAAGTTTTAAACTAGAAATGTTTATTATAACAGACCAGCAGTGTTAAAGAGGATATTTCACGTATCCTAGATGTGCCTTTTAGCAATAAAAGTTCCAAGAACTGATGATTGCCGTACCTCCATCTAGAAATGGACATTTTGGGCTCTGGACCATGCTGGCTTCTTTTCCTTCCCGCCGAAGGCTTTACCAATGTATAATGCTTTTAAAGTTTATACGATACCTGTGTTAAAATCTATTTTAGCTTTATTTATATATTCTCATTTATTATCGATGGTTTTAGACTCGGTTCACAATAACCACCAGGCTCAGTGCCTGGCAGTGGGCTGTATTTTTGTGTCACTTCTTGGTTCTTACCCTTTCCCATACCCCCGCCTATATAAGGAAAGCAAAGGCTAGCTGGAGGCCTGAATTCAAAATCCCCCGGTATTGTTGGTGACAGTGGAAGGTTTTGGCTAGAGAGGACTGCAGAGAGACAGTAACTGGGGTAACCAGAGCAGCGCTTTGAGCTGGAAGAGGAAGGTTCTTCCTCCTGGCCATCCGTGCAGCCGGTGCCTCTTAAGAGCTGGCTGTGCTGAGCAGAAAGCTTCAGAAGGGTGCTGCTCCCCCATCTGCTGTGCGCCCACTGTCAGTCTTAATTCACTTTCTAATAATTTTAAACTCTTTAATATTTTTTTTCTATTCTAACAACACACTCCCTTTTTAAGCTTAGGTCAGTAGATGGCGTGAGAGTATAAAGTGTTTCCTAAGATTACAAAGTAGAACTGACCCTGGCCCTGCCTTAGTGGGACCCCACCTTCTGCCATCTTTGGCCACCAAGCCACTTTCCTCATTCGGGGCTGCACTGCTGTGCTGGACTGCCAGAGGGGACAGTGTCCCCCTCGCTCTCCTGAAAATGGTTTACACGGTTGCCAGGAGGCTTTCGCTGGTTGAGATGCATCTGACCCCAAGAAAACTGAGTGTCTTCATTTTAAACTGGCTGCACTGACTGCACTTTCCACAGCCGCCTCTGCATTTTTTTTTTCTTTTAAATTGATTTGGGTTTTTGCTAAGTAATAAAGTTGCATGTTTGGAGATGCCTACAATTAGCCTTGCAGATCCCAGGTTTGGTATTGCTTTGATCATAAGAGGGGGGAAAAGCTCCTGGCCTTGCTGTAGCTGTGACCGTGTTCCTTTCCAGCTCTGCTCAGCTAGACCAGGAGCATGTCCTCCTTCCACTGTATTCCAGTTCACAAGCTACCTTAGGCCTCTTCTCCAGGTCACCTGACGGAGACACCTATTGTCTGTTTATTCTCTGACTCCTCCCTCAGCCCAGAAGTGGAAGATGAAGTTTCTTTTCAGTCCTAGTGTGATCTCCACTCCTCACAGACAGTGGTTTTGTGTTATTTGAGAAAACAAACCAAGCAGTTGGTCCTTCCACTGGGCTGTGCCTTGGTTTCAGGAAGTCACCCCTGGAGAGAAATTCCATGCAAAAGGGACTGAGCATGTGCTCTCTATTCGGTGTTCAAGGTTTGCTTTGCTTTTCCAGCTGAATAGCCTACTCGAGTTTTTTGCCTTTTAATTTCTGTCCGTCCCATAATCATTGCATGAGCATTCGCTGTCGAAGAATGCTGGTGCTGGCGCTCCTAATTTTCTTTTCGTTTGATTTGTTATCATCTCTAACTTTTTTGTTTTGTTTTTTTTTTTAACTTGCAGTGCAAGCTTCACATAAAGCCGGGCGAGCCAAGGACACTCCCGCATTCACCTGCTTTGGCAGTAATAGCGCATCTCTGTCGTCTGTGCCCTGTTTGATTTTGTGTTGCACCCTTCCCCCCACACCAGTAACCCTTAGTTCATTTTTGCTGAATGTTGTCGGGTGATAGAAAACCGTAGAACACGGGGGTAACAGCAAATGCTCGTGCGACTGGAAAGTCGATGATTTGCCTCGTATGCCTGTTCCAAGTGGCCGCAGGAAGCATGTCTGTCACTTTGGACCAAGGAAAGTGGGGTAGAATACTACCTTTATGTTTGACGTGAGAACTCACCGCCTCAGCAGCTGAACTAAAACCCCGAGTAGCCATGACAGCAACTTACATTTTCTTGATGATTCACCTTATGCTTGCGCAGCCCCTGAATTCATTGCTCTTCACACTTGCCGCAAGCCCAGCGTGGGCCGGAAAGTGGGCAGAATGCTGAGTGGTGTCATAGACAGCTTTCGGCTTGTCTGACTCTTTCATTGAATCGCTTGGTTATTTGGCGCGAGCTTGTGGTCTGCTCAGACCTTCTTAGGGATGGAGTCCACATCTGAATGCCCATTCTAAAGCCTGGCCGAGCTACTGTGCACTGGTGTTAGGAACATGGCTATGGACACCTCCGCCAGGGAGACCCCGATGCTTTCACAGGCCCAGATCCCAAAGAGCAGCTCATTAAGTATTGCTTAGCTAAAGAGCCTTCCACTGAGGACACTGGGTCCCCACTTACAGTGAGGGGTATACCCCATCCCCTCCTCCAGCCCCTCCCCACACACCTGCATCCGCTGTAAGCAGGCTGGCTACTTCTAATAGAAATTTTCATAAACAGCAATGAAAAAAAAACTGCCATAAAAACTTCAGATAGAAAGGTTCCTATCCAATGCATTCCCGGGAGCACAAATCGGAAAGGATGCCCTCGGTTTAAGGCAGGATGGGACTGAGCACAATGCACCGTTACTCAACATAGAGAATGAGGGGACTGAAATCAGCTTCAGCTCCTTACTCATGTTGAGACCCAGTTGTCTCGAAGGAATTTTCCATACTTGTCCCCTCACTGTGCCTGGTTCTGCCTGCTCTGTCTCTTGGGGTCATCAGTCACTCTGCCTCCCCCTGGGGCAGCGCTAACTCTTGTGCCAGGACACGCCCCATCTGCCTGCTGTGTGAGAGGGGAGAAGGGCACATTCTCTCTCCTGTCTTCCTCTTGTCTTCTGCTTGGCTGCCCCATCCTAACACGATCCTTTGGCTTTTCCTGCTCTCCTGACGTTTCTCATGAACCCAGTCCTTTGCTTCCACATTTCCCCTCTGACATCAGCAGTTCCATGCCAGTCGGGTAAAACACGCTGCATCTCCCGCCGTGACACACTGATAAAAAGAGAATTGTCCAGCCAGCCCGTCTGGTCCCAGCCACGTTTTTATGTTCTTCCTTTCTTCCTTTCCCAGTCATAAGAAAGAGGTGGATTTTCATAAGCTGATTTAGGCTTCTTTAGGCAAAGTAAGGAAATTGGCTTCACTGGGGTGCAGACCAGGCTGGGACAGAAGCCACACAGCAGCCGCTGCCACCGTCTTCACTGATTGAGGCGCTCCTAGACAGCCCCTGGCTTTGCTTCCATCTCTCTAGCTGGCTGTGGAGCAGCAGGCACTAATGGCATGCTCACTAACCGTGGCTGCATTTGCTTCTTCTCTGTCCACCACACAAGAGCTTGAGTATTCGTGTTGTATGCTTGCTCCAGCCACTGCTTGTGTGAGCCATTTTTTTGTGCCTTGTAATAGAAAATGACCCTTTGCATTTGATTGCTCACATCCCTAAAAGCTTTTTAAGATAAGCTCAGAAAAAAAAATTTCAAAAACCATCCAGTTGACTTTTTGATGCCAAGATTATTAATTGGATTTCTTTCTCCTATTTTTGGCATTTAATTTTTTCACAGTAAAATAAAACCTATGGAGAGTCAGGGAATAAAAAACTAAGAGAATCCTAAAAAATTTAAGAACATATTGCTTCTGAAGCTGTCTCCTCCCACTGCTCCCGAGCCTCCTGTAGTCTGTTACTGCTGCTCTTTCTTTCCGTATCTGCCTTTCTTCACAGTAGTCCCTGGCTCTGCACGGAATAAACGATACTCTCAAATCTAGTTGGATATGCTTTCGCCTTTGCATGTAAGTACAGGACTAAGACTCGGAGGTCTTTTTCTTTCAGATGAGGGAAAAACAATTGGGACAGATGAGTTTTTCTTTTGGAAGGGGTCCTGAAGGTACAGTCTGAGTAATCTTTTGGGTTTTTTCTCCTTAAATGAAAACATCTCTACCGGCCACATTTATATTTTGCTCCCTCCACAGTTTTTGCTCCCTCTTGATCTCAGTGGAAGTAGGCAGGGTGGTGGTTACTGACTGCAGCCATCGTTCTGCAAAGCATCATGTAGTTGGCCTTGGATTCTGACAACGGGAGAAGGAAACTCCTGCCAACCACTGAACCACTGGATAAAAGTTAAAAAAGCAATGTCTCTGCGGCCTTTCTATACCCTTACGGTTTGGATCTTAGCCTAATGGTCCCTCCTATGTGCTAACTGCACAGTGGCCGCTCATTTTTATTTTTTTATTTTTTTGTCAGACAGACAGCTTTGGCTGGCCTCTCTCCGAGCAGCTTTTGCTCCTTTCTGAGCATCTGTGCTCCCTGCAGCTGTGCTCCCTGCAGCTGTGCTCCCTGTAACTGTCTTCCGTGCTGCAGGGTATGACGGAATGGCCAGCAGGAGAACTCAGTGGCAGGTCAGGACTATTTCCCGGCATGGGCTCTGTATTAATTGGTCTCAAAGGGCATCATCTCTCAGCTAGGGGAGCCATTCCACTTGATTCTGGACACGGGTTTCTCGTTTTCCTCCTTCTCTATCACCAGCAGCAGCTCTTGTCTCCTCTTCACCCTCCGATGGGCGGACTTGGCTGTCTCACTTTCCTAACACCCCCACACCCTAAGTGTTCCACCGAGCCTATGTTCAGCCCCTCCCCCCAGATCATGCTGTCTCTGTGTGGTCCTACCAGAACTGTCCATTTGAATCCCTTGCCTTTGCCATTCACAAGGGTCTGGACTTGTCAGGTGTCTGTTTTCAAAAGTCCTTGTTCCACTGACAGGACGTTTATTATGGAGTTGTTACCTGAATTATGACCTATAGAGTCTAGTTTGTATGTAGGTGTGAAGGGAATTTTTGAAAATAAATTGAAAATTAAGCTGTGAACAGCATTAGAACTTTTGTCTATTTCTTGATTTTAAAATATGCTGATATGCCTTAAACTGTAGTTGTAGAATTGTCGTTTTTGCTGTTTGAAGATAACCAATGTTTTCTAAACTGTTGTGTATTCTTTCAGTGTTAATGCAGAATTGTCATGTATGTAAGCTGCATGTTAGACACGTGTCTTTTTTTAAGAACTAAAATAATTGTATTGATGTGAAGCGTTATCGTTCCTGCAAGTATGAAAGTGCTGGCTCAGCAGCCCGCTGAGTAACTCCAGTGTCTGTGAACGTGGTGTGCTGACAGGTGACCTATGCATTTATCACTAGTGCCAAGACTTAAAGCGGGGAAATATATTTTTACCCAACCGTTGTTCTGTGTGCCCGTTTGTGAGTTATTTTCAGTCCCTGCCTGACATGCCTATGTACACACACGTGATTGTTACATCACATAAAGAAATGGGGATGGACCGTCTCCTGCTTCCTTGCCTTGTGTGGTGCACTTCAGTGCTGCTGTCTGGTTGGCCAGCTTCTCCCATACACTTGCCCTGTGGCGTCCTCACCCCACACTCGTCTTCCTGTCCCTGCCTGTAGTGCATCCATGACCTACAGTGTCCAGCAGAGGCACCCTCCCCTCCCTTGGTCCAGTGTCCATACTACCACCACTCCTCCCAGCCCTGCTTAGTGTCACTGACCCTTCAATTGACACACTGCCGCCTTCACAGCTAGTTGTAAAGAAGCGCTTTTTTTTTTTTTGGCTTTAAGAATCAATTTGAATCTGAACCTTTCTCTTTTCTCTCTGTAGCTTCTTCTTTATGTAGCCATCCCGTTGCCAAGCCCTACTCTCTCTTAATGGACAGCATTAGAAGAGCAGGAGCTGCCTGCTCATACGAGTTTGGGAAGAGTTACCTCATTTCCGCCATCGCCTCCTGTCCTTTAAAGTCTGGGTCAATTATTGCACCGCTGTTTGTATTTGTCAATGTCTGTTTACAAACCACCACCCTCAGTGGCTACCGAAGTGACTTCAACTACCAAAAATAGTGACAATAATATTAATTAAAAGAGTGAAATAGAGAACTTGGGCCCTGACTCCAGGACTCGGGCTGGAATCCTCTTGCTTAGCTGCCATTTTCTTGAACTTTCTGATCTAAGACCTTATGGACCGAAGAGAGCATGTAACCCACTTGAGGTGGTCAACACCTGTGGAGCACTCTTAGCTCATGGTACTCCCACCTCTATCCCATGGGCAACTCTCACCAGCCCCTCAGGATCCTCAGCCATCAGCAGGTCATAAGAGCGGGACAACCCTTGCCTTCTTCTGTTAGTTTTGTGGGTTGTTTCAGTTTGGGATTAAAAAATATTTGCTATTGCATGTGCAGAGGTGGCTGCAGTTTTTCCTCTGGAACGTCCTATTGATACGGTGTTTTTACTTTTCAGCTGACCATCTGCCTCTTGAGAGAAAGAAGTGGGCATCTTCCTTTAAGTTCAGCAGCCGTTTTTATTTGACTCTGTTACCTGCACCCCTTATATAAACTGTCTGGAGAGGGAGTTCTGTTTGTTTTGGGGGTGGGGATTCCAACTAGCCAGTCCTGCTTTATGTATTTGTTATTCAAACTTAGTTTTGGTATCAAAAATTATGCCAGTCTTAAGCTCACTTCAAGGGGAAGTACTATTAATTTTAAGGCTCAAAATTCTGTTTAATATGTTCTTATCTTAGATGCAATTTGAATATGCCCCTTTTTGTTACTAGAGTTTTGATCTACAAGTCTTAATTACATTTGAATTGTGCCAGTGTTGGGTAAATGACTTTTCTGCCTCTGAGGCTCAATTTATATTTAAAGATATCTTAAAATAACTTCTGGCCCGTCCCTGCCTTTCTGTTCTTACCTCCTGTCCATGGTTTTTGTTTTTTTTTTAAATCATGAATAATGCATATATCCCTTCACCCACGAACTTCATCGGTAACAATGGTTCAATTCCTGTCTTCTCAGAGGGATTCACATGGCTTTTCCCCTATACTATCTGCTAGGAATCAAAGCATTTGCACCAGATTACTTAAAGCCCGCCCACATCCAGAAACACTTGTGCCAGTTGAGTGAGCTCGTGATTTCCAGGGCAGACCTGTCTGTCAGGCTCAAGGCTAGGACACTTAGTCACCTCTCAGACAGAAGTCAAGGCCTATCTAGTGTCAAGAAAGTTACCTTCCAAATTCACTACTTGCTATTGCTTTGCTTTTTTGCATCTTAAAATATTTTCATCTCCTATATAGGAGGTAGCTCATGGCACTAGTGTGAGTTACATTTGGTCAGAATCCTTTGGAGTGGTCCCCTCCGTAAGAAAGGTACAGTGCTTCTGTGGGTCACTGAAGACAGCAGTCCTTATCATTCTGATGGCTGGAAAGCAACTGGATGCATTTGTTGGCAAGCAGCTTGCATTCCTAGAAAGTGTTCCTAACTGTAAGTAAAGTCAGTTCCACTGGAGCTAGCAAGAGACCCAAATGTGCCTTCACGGTGTACAGTGGCAGAAATTCAGTGCTGCAGGTACCAACTTTGATGCCAGACTATTGCTGTTAAACGTGAGGTCATGCTGAAACCACTAAGTATAATTCACTTAATTCTTAACTTCTTTCAATCATTTAATATCAATTTTATACTATATCATTTGTTTTGAAAAGCATTCTGTTTCAGATCATAGTGTGAGCAATGTTTAAAAATCAAGTCTGAAAGCGGAGTTCTGCCTAAGAAGACTGTCTAGTTTCACTTCTTTCCCCTTCATTCATCCTCCTGGGACCATGGAGTTTGAAGCAGGCTAGCTTCTTCAGTGACCATGTTGACTCTGGTTGTGGAACTCCTTATGACCTGCCTCCTAAGCATTTTGCTTCAGATGGCTCCTTTTCTCTTATGTTGGCAAAACTGGTGGGTCCTCAGGTCTTCCTGTGAAATTATGCTGAGGACAATCACCAGCAATAATAAACATGCTAGCTTATCCTAATCTAGATTGTGGGGAAGAAAAAGAGAACCAAGCCACTAGAACCTGTTTCTGATGGCAACAGCCTTTTTATTTTTCACTCGAACTTCAAAAAATATTACTTAATTTCAAATATTTGCTTATCTAGGTATATAAAGTCTAGGTGTTCTGCTTGAGACCAGCACAGTACATTATGAAAGAGAATTATGTCCTGAATTAGTGTCTGCTGAGCTGGGGCAATTAGAAAAATAAAGGCACACATCTCAGTATGCTTGACCAAACATCCAGACATTTCAGCATCGATGGCACCCATTATACAGAACTTTTAGTTGTTTTTGTTCACCACTGAGAGACTACAGGACAATCACTTCTGTTTAAGAAATACAACTGTGCCCATATTTAATGACCTACACAAAGCCTTTTGCTTTGCAAATACTATCTTTCTCCCATGGAGATCAACAGGGTACTGTGGCTCCTTCAAAGATCCTTGTGCTTGAATGTTTATAGTGACACCTAGTCCTTTATGTCTGCTACCATCTAGCTTTCAGATCAGTCACTAGCAAGCAACTACCGTACTCAGACTAGTGAAAGGAATCAATGTGTTCATTTGAGCTAACTGCCCATTCCCTCCCGATTCAGCCTCACTATTCCCAACCTGCAGATGTCTGCAGAACATCACGAGAGATGCAGAAATTCCATGCCTGCCTCATTGTTGGTGGTTCCTTTCAGTCCTCTGTGGAAACAAAACTCTGGCTGCCAAATGAGTGGAGCAGAGACTGTTACCATGAGCTTGACCTTTTCCCTCAAAGCACAACTTAGTGTGTTTGAAGAATGGAGTAACATAACATAAAAAGCTGGGCTCAGCATGTTTTCTCTGTGAGATTCGGGTGACAGCTCTCCTTCCTAGCTGTATCTATTCCTTTCCCCTGAATACTGTATTCTGTACCATGTACCCAGCCCACATCAGGAGCTAAGGATGTAGCCACATCTTTTCTTTACTTATCCTTCAGTGTACCTCCTAAGCACAGCAAGGGTTTGGAGCAGAAGGAAAGGGGTGCCATGTCTCTTGCTCATTCATCAGTACAAATCTTATTCTGAAAAGCAATAGGGCTCCATCCTCCCACAAGCACATTTCGTGGCTGTTTGCTAACACTGGTTTTCATTCTGTAGTGTCCTACTCTTAAACTGTTTCCACTAAACGAGCAGCAAGTTCGCTGCACATAGAGGTGTTCTTTTTCCTTCTTAGCTACATGTAACACAATAAGCTTAAAATAGTTCTGGCATTTGATAGACTATGAAGGTTATACCGAGTCAAGAGTTCTTTTTATTCTCAACCCAGAACTTTGACAGCAGGTAAGACATTCTTGGTTACTTGTTAATGCCTATTTTTTTTTCCAAGAGTAACAGAGCGGGCCCAAGCAGTTTATCTCTGTCTTACGTCTGCATCTTATACATCGGTGTATCCAAAAACAAATCAATCACGAATAGAAAACTTTAATTCCTTAATGACAACTGTCCTAAATGTATGAACTTCATCTCTTATGTCCTAATGATCGGTTAAATTCAACTCAAACCAAAAGCAGCAAGACCCTGGGCTCTGGATGCCTTCACACTCTATTTCTAATGTTCTTTGTGGAACTACACACAACTTATTCATCAGGGCACTTGATGTATACTAGTGGTTCTGAGTTATTTGCTTGAGACTTGGTATGTATGTAACAAGCCCACACCTATATTATACCTTAAGCCATGTACAACTGCAACCACAAAAGCCAATGAGATGGCAGACCCGAGCCCTAGCTTGGGACCCCAATGATGGAAGGAGAAAACCAAGTGCTTCCAGTTGTCTTCTGACCTCTATCCATACACACACCACAGTAAACACACACCCCGAAATGGACTAAATTATAACCACAAAACACTGGGATGTATCAGGAGGGACTTAGTAACCAGGTGATTGAGCATTTATCTGCCTACTAGTACCATAGTCAATCCAAACAATTCAGTTTCTCACCAAGTTAAAAATGACTTACTCTTTTCCTGAGCACCGTCTAGTGGGCAGAACTCAAATCATTATTTAATAATGGGTATAGGAGACCTCATTAACATAGCTTAAAAGTTCAAGAACTTGGGAGCTTTCAGAAATAGCATTCCTGTTAGAACTTCCTGTTAGGTAAAAGGTGAAGATGTGAGATACTTTCAAGATAACATCATTCACCCCTCAATGTTTATGGTATGAAGATATTCACCTCAGGATGGTGAGAACATTGACAAAGAACCTTCCCTCTCCCCTTGAGAGCATGCTGGAGGAGCATGATAGTGTAAACCACATTTTCTCTTCAAGGGAGAGGCTGTTACATTGCTTTGGGCAGTGATGCTCAAGTACAGCTTGCTTCATTTCAGAATCTTGAGTAAAGCAGGCATGTCAAGGAGACAGCAGCCACTGGGACAGTTCTTAAGCAGGCAAGCAGTAAGGTGGGAACCTGTGAATTCTCACCACCATCCATCAGCCAACCATGGTGTCAGAAACACCAAGAAATGTATGGGACCTTCCAGTTGGGGTATGGACCACTGTCCCAGCTCCCCTTACTCTTGTAGAGAAAGCATTCTGCTCTCCACTGATAACCAACTTCTCACCCATCTTTTAGAGGACGCAGTCAATCACATCTAGTTTCAACCTGCAAATCCTGCTTTTTCTGGAGATTTCATTACATTGGTTAGCATGCCCATCCTTTGACAGCCTCCTTTCTGGAAGATTCAAGGATGATGCACCTTTTAACCACCAGGAGGCAGCAGACAATTACAACAGAAGCTAAAGCCTCTGAACCTTGGTAGTTTGCAATGCAATACCAAGAAGTAACCTGAGCAGCTTAAGGCAGACTAAGAAAAGCTCCAAGTAAAGCAACAAATATTCTTAATACTGGAATATTCTTCACTGAAATGCTAGTTTGCTTTGGGTCTCAGGCTGAAGTTCTGGAGAGTGGATTTTGAGGGATGGTTGAGGGCTCCAGATATTTACTAGATTTAGCTGAAAGGAGAGGAACTTTCAACTATAACCACTGAACCAAACCAAGAGCTCACTTGTTACAGTGTCCCATGGAAACAATACTCCAAACTCACTCTACTGGTTTTCAAGATGAGATCTCACTACTGCCTGGGCAGCCCAGACTAAAGCAGTGTTCTTGTCTCTGCCTCTTTAGTAGCTAGGACCACAGTTGCATGCCAGCACCAGGTTACCATCAGCATTAGGAAACCTGAAGATCAAATAGCTAAAGTCCTACTATCTCCAGCTTTTGCACTTTGCAGCTTCTGGATTATAGATTAGCTATGCAGACTTTTAGACTTAAGTTTTAAACCATCTGAGTGTGTGTGTGTGTGGGGGGACTCCAATCATATCATAAACATTATGAACCTGGAGCTCCCATGATTCAGAATCAAGAAAGCTGAAAGTCAGAATAATTTTATAAAAATATCTGAGTAATTCCTTGCACACAAACCATTTTTTCACTTTTCCCCACCTCTCCCAACTCCCATCCTTACACACATAATGCTTCCCCAATTGGATTTTTAAGGTCATATAAAATGTGCAGTTAAGTCTTCCACAAGTTTCTAAAAAGATGCTGACCTGGAGACACTCTTGTTCTGCTAAACTTAAAATCAATGAGCTCAAAATATTACCTATATGTAGGCTAGAGTCTGCCTTCATAGACCATCCCATTAACCAGTTGTTAACTGTAAGGTTCACAGCTCACCAGCAAGAAAACACTAAAGGGCACACCCTGTGGTCAAAGATTGCTCTTAAGTTTTTTACTGCTTTCCTTGGTTGAAAATGAAGTGCCCAAGAAGTCAGAAACCATACCTTCCCATAAATAAGAAAAGATCCTATAGAAACCAAGGTTAAGGACAACATTTTATTGCTACCAGAGGCTTTATCACCAGTCCATGGTTCAGACTACAGTGCCTTCTTCAGACTGCAAAGGGAGCTCAGGGTACAGAAGTCACTCAGAGAAAAACAAGGGGAATAACTTCTTATCAAGAAAATCCTGACAGCTTAATATAAACTAGGGTACTGAATTCAATTATAAGTTAGACTCAAATCAGGGCTGCCCCATAGCTAGACAGTTGCTCCTACTCATTTTAAAAAAAACAAGAACAGATCAGTTACAAAAATCTAAGTATGTGTTACATACATGTTTCTTTGGTGAGCACCCAGATATATTAACTTTATAAGAAATTCTTTATACAAATGTCAAAAATGCTCAAAATGTCCAAATTACACACCATTTTTAAGCTTTAAGATAAGCAAAAAGGTTAAAAAAAAGTTATCTTGTTTTTAAACTAAAATGAGACACAAAATAAGAGAACTTTTTCAGTTACCATTGATTCATGTGGATAGCTTCAAAGTGCCCTTTTTGAGCTAACCAACTTGAGCCATGGATTAACATGGATGCCACACAAAAAAATTGCTTACTGAATTGCTTTTTAAAAAAAGTTGGGGCTACCTTTTCAGTGGGAGTCAGAAAACATATCAAGCACAAAGCTTATTAAGTATCCAACAGAGAGGCAAGAAAACACAATAGAAAAACGAGGACACTGGAAACAAGGTTTCTAGCATTGAATTTTGCAACTTTCCCCCCTAAACATTGATTTTTATTTTAGTTTTCTGGATATGGGGCAAACTATTATTTTAACAAAGAAAAAAGTAGAACTGACATAGTGCAAAGAACTTTATCTTTAAATATATTTTGGATCGAGTCTATAAATATATGCCTTTATATTAAATAATGTTGAATTTTAAGTAGCCACACAAAGGAACAAAAAGGGCACTTGTTTTTCTTTTCTCCTGGCTCACTCACTCAGTCTGATACAGCACACGCCCTTCTCTACAGCCTTCCTGGTTTACTGTCAGCCCTAGTGTGCACGGGAAGGTAACACCTGAAGCTACATGACTGAAACAGGCTGCAAGGGTGGACAGGGAGAAGCATGCCCTTCTTGCCTTGATAAATCAGTGCTGCACACAGAACCCACATTCTCTGAAGCATTATCTTCATTGTAGAGCCGCTTAATCCCATCGTAGAAGTCGTCCACTTCCATTTCCTCCACTTTGCGTTTAGCAGAGGTATGCTTACACCCACTGGCAGCTGGGAGGTGATGGTAGAAGGCTGTTGTACTTCTGACTGGCACTTCTGGCTTGCTGTTGTCCTTGGAGAAACCTGGGCCTGAGACAGAGGAGGGATGTAATTTGAACGCTCCTCTGTCGCAGGACACCAGGGTGTGCTTGAGGGGACGGTAGACATAAACGGAATTTAGAGGCAGGGAAGACTGCAGAGCAGAAAGGTGATGTGCTGCCAGCTCCCGACAGTGGATCAACTGCGAGCTGTCCATCTGGACCAGGAAATAAACAAATGACACCCATCAGTAATTAACACAGTCCACTGTTCCTTTACTAGCTACTGTTTCATCCTGTGCCTCTCTCCCTTGAGCTTCTACCTCACTCACTGACTCTTCCACCTACCAAGCATTCTTCTCAAATATGCTTATATCCATGCCTCGAGCATAAATCTGCACCCGTGTGCTGGGCACTTACATCAACAGAGACTTTCTTTGTTCACTGCTCTATTAGCAATGGAAACCATTAAACTCAAGATGATGGGAAGTTTGCTTAGCAGAAAAATGAGTATTTTTTTTTAAACAACTGGAAATGTTAAGTCACATTTTTACAGAAAACAGTAAGACTTTATTAACAACACTACGTAACTACATAGTTTGGGAAATGCATTTTGTTGTTATCCTTTGTGGTAGTTCAGACAGTAATCCTTTCTGGAATCACACACACTTGACCCCTTCAATCTCTTGAACTCCCCCAATTTCCATAGTCATATGTTTGTTTCAACATGCCTTCATGGTCAAGCATATGATTATAATCATCTAGCCTTGCATCTGGTGACTGCAAGACTCAAGTTTTAGGCCTTAGGTTGTATCCATCCCTTTATGCCTGTGGATCATGATCCCCTGGGGTGGGGGGGTGTCAAATGACCCTTTAATAGGGTCACCTAAGACCACTAGAAAACAGATATTTATTTACATTATAATTCCTAATGGTAGCAAAATTAGTTATGAAGTAGCAACAAAAATAATTTTATGGTTGGGGTCACCATACAAGGTACTATATTAAAGGGTCGCAGCTTTAGGAAGGTTGAGAACCACTGCTTTATACTAAATGTTAAGTGAGTGCAATGGAAGGACCTCAAAGTTTTGCCTTCCAAGTGTCTGCCTTCACTTTAACTTATAGCACTGTCTGAATGACCTGTCACCATCTACTTCTCCTTTATCCCAATTTCTTCAGCAGCATGGCAGTACCTTCTGAACAAGCCACATGCTCTCTAACATGCTAGGAATAGGCTCTCTATAAATCTGAACAATGTACACTCTACACTCCTGGCAAACAGGCCAAGTCTGTCTAACACACAAATTGGCCCCTTCCCACTTTTCCCTTGTTTACCTGCGTCTATACGCTTTTCCCTCCAGAAAGCTTATCTTAGCCATTTAAGTATGAGGATCAAGTTGTCCCTGCTGTGCGTGTACATTTTATAGCACCATAAAGTTACTTTCCTTGTCTTTCTTTTTTTCTGCTTTTAGCTCAGGCTGGCTGCCACTCTTGGTTCTCCTGTTTAGCCTCCCAGGTGCTGGGGTCCAGGTGTGCCCCATCACACTCAGCTTATTTTGCACATTTCTTACCCATATTTAACTTACCCCAACAAAGCCTGCTCTACAAAGCGTTAACTGTCAGAAATCCTATGGAAAATAAATTCTACTAAAAGAATACATTTTGTTACATTAGCTGATCACTAAATATATTCACTATGTTAATAAAGAATCACCTGGAAGAATACACATGTAAAATTACATGAAACTATCAGAATATGTAACAGAAAACCTGGCATTCACCCCTGGTTCACTTAGCCTTCCCCTTTGTAAAGAATTTCCTAAGACACTATGGTAAGACATATTAATAGTGCCTAATTGTTAAGTTTTTGGTTTTACTTTTATTTTTGTGTGTGCATGCTCATGTCTGAGTGGGCACATATGCCATGGCACACACATGGAGGACAGAGCACAACATTGTGCAGTTTGTTTCTAACCTTCCACCACAGGCTCTAGAGATTGAACTCATGTGGCTTGGCTTATATGGACTAGATCTAATTATTAGCACAGTGATGTAGACCCTGCTAAAAACTAATAACAGCAGGTAAGAAATGGGGCTTCCAATCATTTCAAGCAGCATATAAAAGAGAACAGATAGACAGAAAGTCACAATGGACAAGCACTTAGCATCCTGAAAGAGTAAAAGTGCCACAAATACTCTAACCCCTTGTACACTGGTCATGATCCTGCAACTGTATTTAAAAAGAGCACTATTATCTCTGTTGATGAAAAAGAGGAATGAGTTATTTTTAATGATTTATTTTTATTTTATGTGCATTGAGGTTTTGCCTATTATATGTATGCATGCCTGTGTTCCAGGGACGTCAGGTCCACTGGAACAAGAGTTACAGAGCTGCCATGTGGGTGCTTGGAAGTGAACCCGGGTCCTCTGTAACAGCAGCCAGTGCTCTTAACCACTGAGCCATTTCTCCAGCCCCTGGGAGTTATTTTTTAGAGGTGAAGACTATCAAAAAATGTTAAGACATTAGACATTAAATAAATACCCTCTATTTGAACTCTACTTTCCACTGGGGTCCCAAAACAAACTTTGTCCAAAATAAATCCTAATCTTGCACAATATGAATTTGTCCTTTTAAAACAGGTCAGCCCCAATCTTCTGCTTTTGTAGTAAAGTGTACTTGTTTTAAGTACATATACTAGAATTACCAACTCTGGATGCAAACAAGTCCTTGATCTTTCTCTTAAAATTTAAGCATTTAAAATGAACCATCTATTATCAGCTCTGAGAACCTTTACTAGCCATTTTTATGACCGTCTCTCCCCATTTCAATATAGTAACCATTGCCAAAAATAACAACAAAATATTACTAACTACAGCTGACCAGGGGACTGTGTCAAGTAGCAATAAAACAGACTATCACATAGGTTCCCAATAAAAAGGAGCAGAATAGCATGACACATGTGATAGGTCCCAGAGAACCCACACATGGTAAGCAGCATGAAACACTGAAAATATCTGTTGGAATATTAGGTACCTTTCAAGAGTCACCAAGAGTTCATGGTAGGACTTATTTAATCCTCTAGTTTTAAATAAGAACATCTACTTTGACCATCACTTAGCAGGCAGCTAGAGAGACCACAACAGAATTCACACCTAATTACTACCTGATAGGATAATCAGGGTGGGTCCCTAAAGGTCAGAAAGTAGACGCCATGAGCACAGCCATATAAACAAACTACAATAAAGGAGTACAGAGAAGGATGTGGCCATCCTAGTGTGGAGATGCACAGCGACACAGGAGCATTAGAATGGGCTGGGTAGGGGGAGCCTAAAAGGAACAAGAGGCAGCTTGCCTTTCAAATCAGAGAACATGTGCCAAGTTCAGAAGGAGTACAGGCAGAGTGAAGACAGAACAAAATGCATGCAGAATAGGGGTGTGACTCAATGGCAGAGTACTTGCTGAACATGGGAGGGGGCAACACTGACACACTCTGATGTAAGGCTTCTGATACTAGAACCTCAAGTCTAGGTCTCATCATGGATCTACTTACAAAGAAACAAGACCTTGCATTCTGAGCTAAATAAAAACAGATGAACTTAGCAAGGCTAGACTATGCCCAGAACTAGCCATCATGCTGGCTCCTAAAGGATGGTACTCATGCTTACACACAAGAACTTCACCCACTGAGCCACCACTCCAGCCCTGGACTAGACTCTTTAAGGTTTGGGTATTATCAAAACAAAAGGGTTGGAGATGGCTCTGTGGATAAGAGCACATACTGCTCCTGCAGAGGACTCAAGTTCAAATCCCAGCACCCATCAGATAGCTCATAACATATATACAGCAATCAAACCACCACCAGCTCCTTTTTAGCCTTCACAACCACAAAGTTCTATGTCATCTAATAACTCTCAAATTCTCCAAACTGAAACTAACTGATGAGTAAATTGATTTCTAAGATCCTATCAAGTCAGTTAAGGAAAAGACAAGTTTAGATGAGGAATTTCTTTGGGCCCCAGAACATATACAAAGAAAATCACCATCTTGGGGCTGGAGTGGTGGCTCAGAGGTTAAGAGCACTGACTGCTCTTCCAGAGGTCCTGAGTTCAATTCCCAACAACCACATGGTGGCTCACAGCCATCTGTAATGAGATTTGATGCCCTCTACTGGCCTATAGGATATATGTAGGCAGAATACTGTATACATAATAAAAGAAAAGAAAAAAAAAAACCAAAATCACCATCTCTGAGCTGTGAAAGGAAAGATTCAGTCTCTTTGGACACTAATGTGCAAATATAAACCTGAATTCTCAAGTGGCATGAGTAGAACAAGGCTTTTAGAGAGCTACTAACACACAGCACTATTGCTTTACTACATCTGAATACAATTTTCCTGATCTAAACTTTTCAGTATACTGAGGTGGTTAATATTTGAAACCATTTGAAAATGCCAGTTACAAACTGATATTTTTTTTAAAGCTGAATGAGAACCGAACCCAGGGCCTTTTCTACCACTGAGCTAAACCTCCAATCCTTCTTAGTTTTATTTTAAAACCATATAGTACCCTCTCAATTCCATTAAGGACACAAAAAGTGTAAAGAACATAAGTGAAGCTGGTAGCTACCTGTGCTTTCTGAAGCAGTTCAATCGTAAGAGGAAGCCAATCGGGAATGAGTTTCTCCATTTCCAGACTAACCATGGCCAGAGCAAGCATGGACCCTTTGAACTGCAGGAGTTGGTTGCAGGCCATACAGTGAAGTAGTTGCTTGGTCAGGAATGCCAGATGTTGAGACGGGCTCAATTTGGGCAAACTAAAAAGTAACTGAGGCCTAGTTGACACTGCAATGGCATGGAACTGGGAGTGGGGGTAGGAAGAAAAACCACAAAATTGTTATTTAAGGAAAATATCTAAGTATACATATAAATAACTTCTCGGGCAGTATGCAAGTTTGTAATTCAGTGATTTGATATATTTTCAGAATCTAATTTTTCCTTGACTAATTTCAAAGTTTTCTCCAAATCCATACAAAATACATCAACAGGTAACCTCTGTCCAAGTTACTGGACCAAGACTATGTGTTCATAGTAAGAACTAAACATTTTGGAAATACTTACAATGTGAAGAAAATCCAATGGTGTGGCTGTGTGAAGATCCCAATTCAACTTATCCAGAATAATTCTCTCCATCCTCAAAATCTCAGATGAGGAACAGCCACAGAAACTGTCTCTTGCCAATACCTTTAGTGCTGGAATTTTCTATCCAAGCAAAAGGAACAGGAAATAAACTCAATTTCAGGACAGAAATGAACTCATTTTCATTTGTTCTGACAAACAAAATGTAAAGTAATAGATAAAAATTCAGAAATAAAATAAACTGGAGAGGTGGCTCGGTGGTTAAAGAGCAGTGGCTGTTCTTTCTGAACCCAAGTTCAATTCCCCATATCTACATGGCGACCCACAACTATATTAACTCCTAGGGAATCCAATGCCCTTTTCTGACCTCTGTGTTCACCAGGCACACATGCATACAGTAACATACATACATTCAGGCAAAACACTAATATACATAAAATTAAAATAAATTTCAAAAAGATAGTTGATGTTCTAAAGCAAGCATTTTAGAGGGACAACACATCTAAACACTTAACTGAAACTGTAGTTTATAAGACAGTATTCATTTTACACCCCTAGAGGCACAAGTGGTCAGGCCCTGCTCTCAGACTACTCTAATGGCTTTGTGCAGCCCCTGGAGACCAGACAAAGGTGGCCAAGCTCCATCCTACAGAGAAAAAAAGACCAAGATCAGGCCACAGAGTCCCACCAATTTCAAGCCACCCTAGGAAGCCCTCCTCCTCAAGAAGTCCTATATGAAACCTGCCTCCTTAGTTCTTTGCTGTTTCTTCAGAGCAGAGGCAGCCACCCTCTGTGTTTTTCCCAATAAAACTCTTATGTGACATTTTTTGTGGCATTCCTTGGCTCCCAACCTTTCCTCTCAGAGCAATAAAGGTTTCATTAACAATAAATGAAAAAAACCTCCAAGCAAGACCTACAAAAACATAGAGAATAAATCTTAGAAGGATTCATTACCTCATCTTCTTCAACAGTCTTAGCAGCTAGAAAGAAACAGCTGATTGCAATACAATCCAAATATTTTGGATGGGCCTAGGATTTCAAAAAAGAGAAGAGCAACATTGGTGATTATACTGAGTTGAGCTTTTGCTGTTTTTAAAACTGAAATAAACATTTGGCTCACAGTTCCCCAGTTTACATCTTCCTAGGCACAAAAGTAAGTTTCTTTTTTGTTAAATACTATGGAATGCTCCAAACCTGAGTCATTTCCAAAATTTTAAAACAAAACAAATACTGTCTTCACAGGATTTCTCCATCTGTCACAACAGCATGTTTACTAGTGACCTATGGTTTAACATGGAAGTCCTTGAACAGAAGCTATGCCTGGGTGTATCTTACAATACTTACTTTTACTGTAGCTAAAAACCTGTCCAGAAGACTGCTTGCCAGAGCAAATGTTTCTGGGTAAAGGTTGAACTGGTATTTGAGTTTGGCCAACCATTGAATTACTTCATCTCTCTGGGATGGAGAAACATTCTATAAGGGAATAATTAAAAAAATAAAAGATCACAAGGTTTCAGTTATCATCAGGTGTACATTTAGAATTCTCTAAACACAGGGCTGAACAAACAGCTCAGCAGGTAAAGGCACTTGCTGCCAAGCTTGATGACCTAAGTTCAATCAGTGAGATTCACACAGTGAGGGAATCAACTCCCACAAGCTGTCCTCTAATCTCCAACATGTGCTGTGGCACACAAATGCCCATACACAAAATTAATAAATGTAACATATTTTTAAATGTTAGGAAATATAAGAGAAAATGTACTAATAAGTTAAAATGTTTTAAGGTCATTCAAAATTGAGATAGATGAAAATTTTATATATTATATCATATTTAACATTATCTTATAATTTACTTTATTAAAATCTCCACTATTCACTTCACCAAGTATCTTCAGATTGAATTAAGTTCAGATATTCAGGAAACAGAACATTTTAAAAGTTAGGTAAATTATTACTAATTGATAATTTTGAATTTTCTCAACTCTGAGTGAGGAAATACCACTCATTAGCTTATCTTAGGAACTATAAATGGACTATCAAGCAGAAGGATTAATTCATTAAAAACAAAACAATCATCTTAATTTCCCTAAATACTATTCTGAACTTTTGAGTAAAGGTTTATGTTTTAAAAGGTTAAATACACTTTAAAATAGTAGGGATTATTTTACTTTTATTTGAGTTTCAGTCACTACTAAACAATTAGTGTACTCCTGATGCTAAATGAACAGATCCTTTTGAGGACTACTCACAGGGCCAGATTAGCCCAGGTACGTCTCAAGCTCACTGTGTAGTTGAGGGTGACCTTAAAGTTCAGATCCACCTCTCAAGTGCTGGGACACAGAGGTGCACCACCACACCGAGTTTATTTAATTCTTGGGATTCTAGGACTTCATATGAGGAGACAAACTTTACCAATTGAGCCATATGCCCCAGCCCCTCGTATACTACAACCTGTGCCATGTAAACACAATGAAGTACCAAACTGGAATGGTGTTTTCAATAAAGGATCATGCTACAAAATATATTCAAGAACTGACTTATGCTAACTCATCTTTCTTTATGAAGTACAGTACAATGATGATGACACAAATACTTTTCCTGACTGCTGTCAACCTAAGCTAATTCTTTTATCCTACAAAATTACCTAACAGCTATTAAAATATTCAATGATGGGCTCTGTAGAGTGCAACTCCTCAAGTAGGAATCACAGCTAGAACTACGTTATTGCTTTTGGCTTCCTCTAGTTTTGCTAGGAACGACTTCTTGCTCATTGAAGTCCGTGCCACTGCATCTGCTGACTTCTCTCATTCCTAGTCCTCCTCCTCTACCTGCTGTCACTTTTGTCAGTTTTGAGATGGCAAAGTGTTCTTCTACATTACCAAATCAACCAACACACTTATATAATTCTTACATCTAGCTCCAAACTCGGTTATAATTGGTATTTTTAGTGGAGAATTAACATACACCTACCTTCTGGTCAACCCTTTTGGAACAACATCACAATGGTGAATAGAAATACTAATAATTTACAATCTGTTTTATTAACAACTCACTACAAAGTTGGTAAATGAGTGAAAGTTACATAAGTCTTATAGCTAAGCAGACCATTAAATGGTATTAAGCCAGAGTTACATATGGTGCCCTAGGGACACCTGGCCTGGTGTGAGAGTATAATAAATCTTCTTAGAAGAAACAGCAACTAATTCATATCTTAAAAAATGAGGTGAGCGGGCTGGAGAGATGGCTCAGAGGTTAAGAGCACTGGCTGCTCTTCCAGAGGTCCTGAGTTCAATTCCCAGCAACCACATGGTAGCTCACAACCATGTATGAGACCTGGTGCCCTCTTCTGGTGGGCAGGCACACATGCAGACAGAACATTGTATACATAATAAATAAATAATTTTAAAAAATGAGGTGAGGGAGTCCTCTGTGCTACAAAATACAGAGAATCAATCCTAGAATTCTATAATCAAACAAAAAAAGACTTAAGACAGTTTTGAAAATAAAGCTGTCAGCCTGAACATTCTTATTGCATAGAGTTGCAGATAAATTTATGTCCTGTAGACTTTTGCCTAGTTTGACAGAAAAATGGAATCAAAATTTTTTTCTTTAAAAGACAGGGTCTCATGAAGCCCAGGTTCACCTCAAACTTGCTATACAGCCAAGGATGATTCCCCTGCTTCCACTACGGGAATTACAGGTATGTACTACAACACCTGGTTTATGCAGTGCTGGGTATTAAACCCAGGGCTTCATGTAGGTTAGACAAGCAGTCTAACAAAAGAACTACACCTAGAGCCTAGAGTCAGGCTATCAATAATGTAAGTTGGATCAAACCTTTGACAAAACACCACTGTCTAGAGCTATGGCTTCTTTAGGTGAGAGGACATCAGTACAGCCTTACAGTTAGGAATTGGGTTAACCATCAGTTGGCAAGGTCCTTAATTACACAATTTCCTATATTTTCAGAGCCCCATGGTGCTACTAATAAAATCTAGCTCTGTTCCCTGAAGATCTCTGAGAAGTAAAGGTAGTTTCTTCTAATTAAGAAGTTGTGCACTTAAGGAAAATTCAGCCAGTCAAATAAACCAACAGTAAACAAATTCACAAGAGAGGTAGCAATACCATCTGATGCAGTTAGTGGGCTCTTTGGAGAGAAAAGGAACAATAATCAGAAGACACAAGAAACAGGAGCAATACTAACTATCCTGTCATGTCAGACATATAATCAAGAGGGAGAAATAACACTCCCAAATAGCAGACTATATCCTTATCTGGTACACTTGACTTTAAACAAACATAAAAGACTTATAAAAGATGAATACAAGGGGCACATGTCACTTTTTGCCTTAACCTTCATACTGTTAACTGTACTTAGGACTCTGATTTTTCCTTATATTATTTTACATCTCTGCTTCCATACTTTATTGATCCTTCTAGAGGAAATACTCCTTTCTCTATTTTACTCTATCACACACACATACACATATACATTTCAAAACACTGGGTATGTTTTGTTTTGTTTTTCTGTTTTTTGTTGTTGTTTTTTTTTGTTGTTGTTACAGTACTGCTGTGACAACCAGGTTCTGAAGAAGCATGACTCTGGAGAGGAATAATGAAGTGATAAGTCAGTATTCTAAGATAAGGGCAAGCAGCTAAGAGTAAACTAGTAGAGCATTTAGGAGAGTTACAGAGTGAGAGACAAAATCCAAGACTTGTAAAACCAAGGAACTAGTGGAAGTTGGAGGTCAGAAATCTCAAGGGGAAAAACCCACTTGGCTGATGGTGTTAGTTTTTCTTAGAGCTATGACCCATGTACCTGGCAGAACCATTTACAAGGAGGAAGACTTATTGTGCCTCACTGTTTCAGAGATTTCAATAGTGGTAGCATTGGAGGAGGAAGGGGAGAGAAGGAAGGAGGTACAGAAGTAAACAAAAAGGACAAGACAGGATCTTCTGGCAAACAAGGGGGAAAAGAGGAAGCAGGCAAACAAAAAAGGAGGAAGAGGCCAGGGACAAATTTCACCAAGGTCTGGCCCCAGTGAGGCCCCATTTCCTGAAGTTTCTGGCACCTGTGAAAATGGTGCCACCATTTGGTGACCTAGGTTTCTATACATGGGATCTGTGTGAGACATTTTATATGCAAACTCTAAGACTGATTTTCCTCTTAGACATTTCCTGAATGAAATCCTAAAAATGGATAGTATAGAGATCTAAAATCTTAGGCACACACACACACAGCTTCATTTTTAATAACAGGTAAAGAAATCACATTCAACTGAAGTCCAGCCCTCAGTCTTGACTACAATCCTTTCTTGGACTACAGTGATTGGTCCCAATTCAGTTTGTTGGCAAGAGGGAAGACTGAACTCTCTACAGAGGTAAGACTGAACTCTCTACAACAGGTCTGGAATGTGACACAACAGCAGTGCTTGCTTAGGAAGCAGAACATTCTGCTTTGACCTTCCAGCACCACAAAGACAGAATAACTAAGTCTATACCATTTTTTAAATGGTATAATAATACCATTCTAATAATAGAATGTTCAGTGTCGAATCAAAATTTATCAGGAATAACAACAAAAACCTAAGTAAACAAACTAAAAGCCAAGATAGGAAGCCAGGCAAGTGGAAGAAATATCTTTATCAGAATAAATGATTTATTACACATGATATCATAGGGGGTGCTAGAGAGATGGCTCACTGGTTAACTGCTCTATTAGAGGACTTGATTTCAGCATCCACATCATGTGGCTCACAAACCCCCTTAACTTCAAGGAATCTTACAAAGCTTCCTTTGTTTTAGAGAAAACACACACCCAGTAACAGACAAAAATGAATTTTGCTACATAAATACAACCAAAGGGCTAAAATTGAAATAGTAAGTGTAAATTAAAAACTCAAGTGTGCATCTAACAAAAATTACTTATGATTTGTCAGCTATATTTGTAGCCTTGAAAAAATTCTGTTAAGTCTAGGAACCAGAGAGATAGCCCAAAGAGTAAAGGCACATACATGCTGGCATCCCTGGAAACTCAAGTTTAACTCCCAAGACACGTATCATAGAAGAACAAAGCCCACACAAATGCCATGGCATAAACACAAGTGTGTGCCCATATCCTAAGTAGATAAATGCAAAGAAAAATTAAATTACATAACAAAAAATTTATAAATCTAAACATATTACAGTTAAAAGAAAAAATGCTAGAAAATAATTTAAGTGTCTATCTTAAATAGTAAGCTATGTTTTAAGAAGTAAAATAGCAAATAACAAAATAATGAAATTATGACAAAAAACAAAAATAAAAAAGCAGTATTTAAAGCAAATGTACTCTAAGTTGCAAGCTAACACTTCAATATTCATTATCAGGGCAACTGCTCATAAGAGCAATAAAGCTTTAGAGTTGGGGTAGAATTCTGTTAATAAGCACTTGTAGAAATCTGAGTTCACTGCCTAGCACAACAAAAAGCAAACACATGCACAATATACACAAAGCTAAATATCAAATATAAGCCAATATATTGTTGCCTAACAAAACAAAATTTAGGGATATATTAATGAAATAAGCCAACAAAAGACAAAGTCTAACTTACTATGCATTGGAGTTTACGCAGTGAAAGAAAACAATGGAATGGCAACACACACACACACACACACACACACACACAGCTAAAAAGATGACTTTCTGGAAGTAAAATCTAGCTTAAGTATGTAAAGGAGCATCACTGAAACTACAGATTTACTCTACATTACTTAAAATTACTTAAATGGATGGAACCAGAACCCACTAAGTGGCCAGGAGCATTATTTGTGTGGGCATGAGTGTACGATCATGTGTGTGTGTGTACATGTAGAGGCTGGAGGACAGCCACAGGTGTCAAGGATGCTATCTACCTCTTTCGAAACATAATTCCTCACTGACCTGGAGCTCATAATTAGGCTAGGCTGGCTGATCACTGAACTACAGAGATTCTTCTGCCCTTGCCACATTAGTGCTGGGACAAGTGTGAGCCACCACACCAAGCATTTCTACAGCTCAGTTCCTTGAGCTTAGGAGGCAAACACTACCGGCTTAGGAAAAGCCTTGTAATAATTAGAAAGTAGAGCTTTTCTAAGATAGAATGGACAAAGGAATACAACTGCATTATCAGAGATGTTAAACAAAATGATCCTTTTACTGTACAGTTAGATTATATCTGCTTACAAACTTAACGCATACAAATACAAGTAGGAAGCAGTTTTAAAATACAATTCTAGAGTCCGTAAGGCGGCTAAGGAAGGGCATCAAGCTGTGTAAGCTTGACTGACATAAGTTTAACTCCTGGAACTCCAGTGAGAGAAGCAAAGAACTGATTCCACAACTGGTCCTCGGACTTCCACCAGTAGGGTGTAGCATACCCTACCCACAACAGTAATAAAGTTACAAATCCAACAGTTGCTACTAGAACTCAAAAGGTCTGGATGTGAGGAGTAAAATGATCCCTTGTTCCTTTTGAGATAGGGCATTATTCTTAGCCTTCTGGCCTGGAACTTTCAAAAATCTTACTGCCTCGACTTTCCAAGTGCTGGGGTTATAGGCATGCTCCACCACCCCCAGCTGAAAACTCCAATTTTTAAGAAAGTTTAGGTAATTCTGATCTATTTAGTCGCCAAGTAGTTCATGTAAACCTGTGTTTTAGCTGTCCTTAGCATAAATCCTGCTTTTGGAACCATATAATCAGGTCTTTGATACCTTAATGTTCCAAAATTCTAATAAAAACCACTTTAAAGTTTGTAACAGGACTTTCTTTTTTTTTTGCAATCAAAAGCACTTTAGCAAAAATAAATGCAGACTATCTGAAAGGGTCACTGTTATTGATTTTTCCCTAAATTTATTTAATGCAACTGTAAAAACTTCAACTATTCTATAGAACTTTTCTGTAAGTACCAAGAACACACAATAGACCACTACTTGAATAAATTACAAAGAAGCCATAACCATTCATTTAAAGGTTTAACTCTGAGTGTGCTAAAAACATACCTGAAAACCCAGTACTTGCTGGTAGACAGAGGAGGATCAAGAAACTAAAGGCTAGCATTCACTGGCAAAGCAAGTCTGAGGACAGCCTAGGCTACAAGAGACCCCGACTCAAAACATCATCAGAAAGTAATAAATGCGAGTCTACTGTATGTCAGAAAACAATGACACAACATCACCACCAAGGAAATGCAGTGGAATCACCAGGAAACTATACTGTGTTCTCACAAGGGAAGTACAGACAGGGGCGGGAGTCACAGGTGTAACAAGATTATTTTCTTGCCTGGCCACATTTTGCTCAAAATCCAGGGGTGGTGGGTGTGTTGGTCTAAAATGAAAAAGAACTGTAAGAATGGCCTTGTACTTGCAGAAGACAAGGAAAGGGAAGTAAAAGAAAGCAGAAGCAAGCACCACAAAAGGAAACTCTAAAATACTGCACTTTTCTATTTTTATCAGCACTTAAAAGTAAGTAACAGTAGAAAGGCCAGCCCACGACCAGGAATTAGATTGCTCTTTTATGCCTAAACCCATATCCTCTCCTATTCCCATCAGATCAAGCCCACTCTAAGTTTAAAGTATTAAATAGAATTACTTGGCATTGCTAAAAGTAATGCCTTGACTAATGCCCTCCTGGTCTGACTCCATTTTGTGTTTTCTTAGACAGTTCTCAGCCCTCTACCCATCCTGCTCCTCCCAACAGTCCCATCTGCCTTGGCAACACACGTGAGATTTGGTATCAGGGACAGCAGGATGGCTCAGTAGATAGAGGGAGCTAGCAAGCTTTGTTGGATCCCAGAGAAGGGAGAAAATCAACTTCCACATAAATACTGCATGCAGTACCCACACACATAAATAATAAATGTTAGTATTTTATCTTACACTTCCCAGAATTTTTGTAAACTAAACTACTTGGCTGAAGAATTTTACTCATCTTTTAACAAACTAAACATCCTTTAGTTTGTAGATTATTTGATAAGGGAATATATTAGAGATAATATAGAAATGTTACAATGAAAGAGATCCATTAACATAACTCATGATTATTCAATTTGAAAAACTTACATTTTAGTCTAAGACTTTAGCTATATGAATCTGTAAGATATACTTTCTATCTTTTTGTGATCATATATATTTTTGTGACATATTTTAAACAAGCAGTTTAAATTATGTTGTCCTGTTTAAAAAGTTGTTTCAGGGAAGGAAAAAGAAGTAGGTCCACCTTGTAAGTTTCGAACCTGTCTTGTTCTCTGTTACCTCAATGACACCTGTTAGCTTGGCTACAGAATAGACTAGGTAGAGTGGTAATTCAGCAATTTACTGCAGCAATTCAAAAGTCTCACCTTCACAGCTATGTTGCCAATGGTTATTATAGTTAGCTGCATACTGACTTAAGGAGGCCAAGGAGAAAGGGGAAAGGGAGTTCTTTTTAAACTCTGCTGGAAGGCTTTGAGTCCCAACACAGTCAAGAAATTAAAAGTTTTCTCCATTCATATCTTCAATATGTACAACTATACCTTGAATATAGCAAATATTCAATAAACATTCAAAGAAATCTAAGCCACACATTCATACTAAAATAGAATGGAAAAGTATAAGAGACTGCCTCAAGAAAAGACTCAAATTGTAACTACTATTCGAATATTACCGAAGTCCTGAACAACACAGAACTATACTTATCTTAAGAGAATCAAATGATATACTAAATGATCATACCTAAGTGTTCCTACCACAGACAGTACTTATTCAAAGTCAACTAGTCTTCAACATGCAAACTGATAAACAGCAGATGCAAAAAAGATTTTTTCAGGTTGTAGGAAGAGTTAAGAGTAGAAAGACTTCAAAAGTCTATCAAACTAAGATAACCTGTAACAGCAATATTTGTCATTTTATCACTTCTTAAAACTTTCCTGGCCACTCTTCTACACCCCAAGCACCTTGTTAGGTACTAGAGATACAAACATGTACAAGTCTTACATAGTAAACTGTTGGCGTGGATAAACTGTTAGTTACTAACTACCAGAATATGATTAAAGTACAAAAATGTCTGAAGGAGAAAGTGTATACACAATACCAGAAGAGTTCACTTTACTATCTCTCAAAGACTTGCAACACTGCCATGACCTTAATAACTCACTTAAACTCCTTATAAATACTAACAAAGAGGTAAAGATGTCCCTCTAGAAACAGCTTACCACTGAATTAGTCTACAAGGAAAATGAATGCATGTAATTACTTATAACTCAGGTTAAAAGTTTTATCTTACTTTATTCGGAAAGATGATGTTTCCTAAAGAATGTTTTTCCTTGTCTTTGCAAGGTCTTGTGTAGCTCAGGTGAGCCTCCAACTAACCTTAAACTTGTCTTAAGTGCTAGGATTACAAGTAGGCTCCCCCACACCCAGCTGAGAACATATTTAATAATACAAATATTCCCAATGAAGCATTAGGATAATGCATTATGCCAATAGTACATTTCTAATAAAACACTTGTTTTGAGAGAAATTACCTGATTTGTACTCATTTTCGGCACATTGACCTTCCACATCTGGGCTTCCCTGGAGATTGCCCTTTCCAATAGGAAAGACAATCTCTGGTTTTCCAAAGGTCCTGGAAACTTCATGATATCCCTTTGGATCTGCCTGTCACCCAGCTTGATGTGGCTACCTAGTAAAATCAAATATAATGTTCATTGCTTAATTACAGAATAAGTATAATATACACATTTATAAATGTTAGCATTTATTAAACAATTTATAAAACAAAATAAGAATGTTATGAGGCAGTATAGGATTTTATAGCTCTTTAAAATGCCATATATTAAAGCTAGCAGTAACATTAGATAAAACATCCTCACTTTAAATCTGAAATTCTAAAACCACTGACTTTTTATTAAAATTCTTAGCAATAGTTGTCCCAAACCTTCTCCCTAAAAATAAAGTAAAACTACTAAGGGCCATAAAACTACTACTTTTATTTATCATTAAAACATATTAGTTTAAACATTACATTAAACCATTTTAAGTTATGTAAGGGGAAACAAGACTGATTTAAGGGATTGTTATCCTATGTTTAATTAAGGCCTTCAGTAAAATGTTCAGATGTTATCAAGTAAAAAAAAACAAAATATTTTTAGATGAGTGAAAAATGAAGACATAGAAAACTGACAAGATGCAAAGAAAGCGGTGGGCATTAAGGGGAAGTTTAATTCCTGAAAATGCCTATATTAAAATATCCCAAATCATCTGCTTAACCTCTACCTAAAAAGACAACGGAAGTCACGTGTGGTGGTGAATGTAACCTCAGCACTTCTGAGGACCTGTGCTATTCAGCAAGACTTTGTCTTAGAAAAAGAAAACAAAAATGGCAGGTAGTGGTGGTGCATACCTTTAATCCCAGCATTTGGGAGGCAGAGACAGGTGGATCTGGTCTATAAGAGCTAGTTCCAGGACAGGCCCCAAAGCTACAGAGAAACCCTGTCTTGAAACAAACAAAAACAAAGAATGAAGAAAAGAGAAAATTTCCTTAAACATAAAACAAAAACAAACCCCAAACTATAAACCAGGCCTGGTGGTGCACACTTGCAAACTTGGGAGATAGAGACAGGAGGATGAGAAGTTCAAAGTCATCCTTTAGCTACATTGCAACTTTAAGGTCAGCCTGGGCTTTTCAGATAATTATTTAGTTGCTGGAACAATGTGATGAAAAGGAGAAACAATGAAATCAATTGAGAATTAGTATGACGAGGTCCAGTTTAAATGTACCTCTAACTGAACTGGTTCCTGTACTAAGTGAGAAAGTATATTTTTAAAGGACACTACTAGGGATAAATGGAATGTTGACTATAGGGTTACAGTCTATATGCATCAAAATTACATTCACTAAAATTTAAAACTGTACTGTATATGTAACTCTGTAACAGAATATTCCTACTCTTACAGAGATACTGAGCCTTGGGAGTAAAAGGTCCCAGTATGTGCCACATACATAAAACAAAAAACAATTTGGAAGCATTTTTGCACTCCTAGTAAGGTCTGAACAGGGATGATCTTATCTGCTATCCCCTCCTTGACCACATGTACACCAGAAATACTGGGTCATGGTTGATTCCAACACTGGGTTCAATCTCCATGTCATCCACTCTTCTTCCGACTTGCAGAGCTTTCTGTAGCTCCAATTCCTCCCGCTAAATTTGCTATCACTCTATCAGCATCACGTTTTGGAATTGTGTAGGCACACTCCACCTTCCTTTACCAGCGCCTGGACATAAATCCTACGTTTGCATTTAACTACGACCACTGCTAGACCTGCTTTTTCAACTAACCACGAGATTCTTGACCACTAACAGTTTCCAGAATTTAGCACCATGCCCAACAAATAGCAGTTTACACTTGTCAGGTGCTTATCAATCAACAGCCCCCGGTGGTTTGCTATTTGGCCAGCTATTCTTTATTTTGACCTAGATAATCCTCCATTTAAAGATTAACAAGCACATAAGGTAAGTTGAATGCTCTTCATTTCTAAAGAAGTACATGATCAGAACAAACTCTTTGCTTCTAATCTTGACCCCTCCCTCCTAAAAAAAAAAAA